AAGCAGCTGCCACCGGATAGCCGCCAAGCCGCCCACAAACGACTTCAGAAAGCTATCAAAATCTCACAAAGGGGAAAGAAGCCTACCTTCAAGCGCTCTACTGAGCTAGCATCAAAGAATATTATCGTTGGCAGTAGTAGTGGTGGTGCGCAGCGAGCTAATCGATCAGCTGCACCACCATCACCACGCTCGCGTTCAGGCCGCCCCATCAAGCTGCCAATCAAATATCAGTAGATAGATCAAATAAACAATACTACGAGATTACTATACTAGAGTTTCTCGCGATAATAGCTTTTATGTAGAGCTCTACAGCTTCAAGTTTGTGATAGTACTGTTGGGGAGAAATCCGGCGTTGGCCCGTCCGCGGCGTTGGCCCGTCCGGCACCTCTAATAGAACTCTTAGATGTTGCCGCCGCGTTAGCGTATTGATAAGTATATTATGAAGAAAAAAGACTGTTGCAGCGATAGTGCGACGAATAGAGAGGGCGATCATACCTATATTCGATGTGGATAGCACGAAATGGGCTATAGGATATTAACAATGACTAGTACATACTAGAAAGAACTAAAAGATATCGGTAAGATAAGATAGTATGTAGTGAGACAAACGGGATCCATGACCACGTTTAGACGAAGAAGGCTAGGCTATGTACCTAATACCGCTTTTCTTTACTGTAATTTACTACGACTTACTAGAGTAGATGCTTCTACAGCTAAGTACTACTAGACGATATGAGTGCGGGCTTCTTAACCAACGACGTGTGCATTAGCCCTTATAGATGTTACAAGTAACAAGGATTCTCTCCTTAACGAAGGATAGGGAGGCTAAGGGCCTATGGACGTCCACGTCAAAAGGTAATGATTAGCACCCCGCGTTAATCACATAACTTAGCATCCCGCTAAGTTATAACCTCTGGGAGGCTAACGTTCTCCTAAATCTCCTACTAAGATAGGATGCTAGGGAGGATAGAACTAGAAGTAATAAGGATATAAGGACAGATAGATTTCATCATTTACTCTCGTTATAGTTAACTTAAATTATACTCTCTTACTAGTTTGTTTACTCAATAATATCGTTACTTATTATTCTACAGTAATATAGATTAGTATATATTTATCAAAACCCCCTAGTTAACTCTTTCCCACTACGAATCGCTAGATAACTACATTATGGAACATTAGCGTAATACTCGCCAGCCTTATTACGGACCAGGCAGAGAACTATAGATCCGAACCCCGTGTAACAATCAACACTATATTTAAACTTACTCTCTGCATGATATATAAGACAACACACAAGACTTGTTATGTACTCAACTGCTGACAGTACCATATGGAATTGCAGCGTTTATGCGTGCCTTACACAGGCTTAAAGGGACTAGTATTATGCTGTTGTCTATCAATAAGAGGGTGCGCGATGGTGTGGAGTTTATGCGTGATGATCGGGGTTGTTAGATAGAGATGATATACTTGGTCTTCCATGGGCGTTTTGACACGTTCACACGGGGGATCGTCTATGCACGTACAATTTTTCTATACTTTCATGCTGCCGTACAGATCACCATGATGACCTCCTTACCCGCACCTAGATATCACTCAAACAACGCGTCCCTTGACCTGTTTGATGTTCTTGACGTTAATGTCGCGCCAGAACGCAGCCGCAATGAGAGCGCATGACAACATGCAAATGCTGGTAATGAGCATAAGTCGCTGCGAGTCTGCATAAGACTGCGCGATACCAGTCCTCTCCGGCGATCCCCACTCATGCGATAGCTGGTTTGGCAACGAAGCGTAAATGTCCGCAACATTAACACTAGCCGGAACATTCTTGACGAGATTGTTGTAAAACGTTCCAGTCCAGATAGCAGCCGAGACGGTGCTTCCAATTGCACTACCGATAGAGCAGAAGAGGTTGAGAACGGCGATGATGACAGCCATATGCTGATGATCCGAAGGCGCCATCATGGCCAGCTCGCCAGCGATAACGATGGTGCCTCCAGCTACTGCCGTAAAGATCTGCGTCATGACGATGTACCCCACCGATGTTCCAGGCTGACGGAAATGAATCATTAGTCCCAGCGCCAGCATATCAATGGGCAGCGCAAAGAACACGGCGATCCACTTGAACCTTCCTGTGATCCTAATCGCCGGTCCCACAGCAGCCAAGCACCAGAAGCAGGATACAACGCGGTAGATACTCTGGACATAACTGGCTGTAGTGACGTTGAGGTTCCAAACCACCTGCAACATGGACCCAAAGTATGATCCCCAAACCGCGCTGTTAAAGTAAACAAAGATGAACATGACGCCAGCGAGGAAGACGGTTCGGTCCAAGAGTAGTTTATACGGGATGAACGTGACTGGTGCGAAGAACCGTTCCCAGATAGGAAAGGCGATGAGTAGAATGAAGCCAGCGACTATCATACCGATAATCATGGGACTCTTCCACTTCTCAGCTTGGTAGCTGTATAAACTGAACGGTAGCAAGAATAGCGCCATACCTGCTACCAAGATCAGTATACCGACGGCATCGATGTCGACGCAGAACTTCTTGACGGCTGCGGCGCTCCAGTCGATGCGGCGTGGCTCGAGTAAGCCTTGTTTCTGCGCCTTGCGATCATTGAAGAGGACCAAGACGGCGAGAGGAACGACGACGACAGGGATGATGATGGTGAAGATACCAAAGGCCCAGCGCCAGCCGGGGCCAGCGAGAACGGATTGAGCAACGGGGCCGCCGATCCAGGTTGTGATTATGTAGGGGGAGGTTGCAAAGGAGAGCATGAGGGCGCGATTCTTGAGCGTCGAGGTATCGGCGATGAAGACAGTAAGGATGTAGGAAACTGCTTGTGATCTAGAAACCAATCGTGTTAGCGTTCACGTCTTTCTGTCTTGATCGATGATCGATAAAGAGTACATACCCTGTAGATGAGAAGACTTGCGCCGCAGCATACGTCTCTACATTCTGACATGAAGCCATCATGATGTATCCCACTATCCACACACACAGCGAGAGCAAGAGACCCTGGGGTCGACCCCACATGTCCAGTAGCTTAGCTAAGGGAATCTTGGATAGTCCACCGATGATGGATGACATGATTCCAGTGGCGGCTGTAAGAGAGTGTAGACGGAAGGCACTGGTAACATAGGGATTCATAGCGCGGACGACGACTTCTTGGAGGGCGGTGACGAAGTAGATCCACCAGATGCTGCATGGGTGTTAATGGATATGTTACATGAGGAAGAGAGTGGAAGGGGGCCAGAAAGTGGAAGAGAGTACAACACACATCACATAGGCGCCGATGAGATTGTATTTTGTCCATACTAGTGCTGCAGCTTCAACGGCTTTAACACCAGCTTGCGCGTTGCTGGAGAGGCTTTCTTCGTCGGTGGCTCTGTTGCAGTGATTGTCCATCTGAACGCCTTTTTCTGCATCGCTAGTTTGATGAGAAGACTCAACAGGCTCGATTGAGTCGGTGGCTCTGTCTTTGGAACGATTGAGGAAATGCATGGTGGAAGAGAGCGGAGTGACCACGATTCAATCAAAGAACGGGGCGAAAAAGATCAGCGATGAAGGCTACCACATTCAAGCATTGAACATCTAGCTTACTCTTATACCCCTCTCAGGCTTCTATTCTCCTAAGTCACGCGTCCAACACTGGTATAAGACCCAGGACCGCACTCCTTCAGACCACTATCGATCCACCATCGCCCCTCCAAAACCACCTCACTGGAAACACCTTCGATTCTTGCACCAGTAAAATAGCTACAACGACAGTCTCGAGAAATTGGCATTGCTTGGTACGAGACAATCAATACTTAGAGTAGCAATCAGGATGAGTAGGGTGGAGTGAAAGCGTTCGTGAAAGAGTTTAGCGAGGAAAATTTGATCTGATTAGATGCAAAGATAATCTTATTAGTGGCACCTCGGGGTTCATAATATCCGGGTGAAGCTCGGATCTCGGGTAGATAAGGAAGATGCGACGTGCTGTTTACACGTGAATGCGATGTTAGGATGAAACTACTTTAATGCATCCTTACCTCATCTTCAAATCTTTGTGACTCTATTCGATATTTTTAAGAAAACTGAAGGGTGTATACTGCAGCCAATGCAGCCGACTAGACATGAGGGATGTTGGTCCATTATAAGGACCGAGCGAAGTCGAGAGTGGATCGTGATCGTGATCAAGAGCATCCATAATGCTAGGTTTAAAAGCACTGCGCCTCTTTGTTATTACGGTTATAGCAATGCGCTCCCATGGTTGCAGCGTCTTAATGATGTTTCGGCCAGCTAAAGGTCTACGGTACACAGTGAGATGCCTCAGCGGGCTATGCGTAAGATGACAGATCACCCTGTATCCATCTAATGTGAGAACGTGCCGACCCTCGGCGAGCGGCAGATGGGAATGGATGCGTGAGCAGGTGGGATGGATGCTCCAGTGTGGGGTGTTCTGTTCACTTGCTAGTCGTGCATAAGAATTGCTTCTGCACGAGTGCCGACATGCCGCTATTACGACCCAACTTGAGGAACACCTACGTAGGGGTTAACGTACCGAGGTGGACGGCGTGATGAGCCACCTTGAGCACCAAAGCAGCCACACAACTTAAGGCTATAGAGCCTTACACAATAGCTAATAGTTATACCTAACTACTTATTACATATATAAAGGTAGGTTAACGTTTGGGATAGGCGAGTGTCAGGGACGGGCGAGTGTCTGGACGTGCCAAGGCTCCACCAAAAACCACGACTATCACAGACTATTGCAACGCAACCACAATAGTAATTAGAAATTGTGGTAGGCTATTCTATTTAGGGTTACCGCATCTACTTGCTTATATGTGCGTATATTATACCCTGCCTTACTGCAGCTTCTACAGTGCCTTTCCCACGACTCGCCCACCTCAGCGCGCGCTCTCTTCTTTACCTTCTTCCCATTAGTGCGCGCTCTAAATTCCTTTAGAGTTAACAGTTAAAAACCTTCGTCGACCATAAGAGTCCGTTCTTTCTATACCTATTTTCTTTTGTGCTATTTACGTCGCATAGCGGCCTCATTTGCTGCCTTAAACTCAACTATCTCTCGTTGCGCCAACACCGGCGGCTTGATAGGGCCGACCATCAGAGTCGAGGAGAGTAAAGAGAAGGAGAATGGAGGTGGTGAAAGGAAGCAAACTTGGCGATGTGTACAAGATGGTAATGATGACAATAAGTAGTGGATCTTGGATGGGGGTGTCTATGGTTCTAGAGCGGATAATGTGAGCTTGGAGATCGACGGTTTTAGATGATATCTCCACATAACTCCAATAACAACTAAATGATATGACGTTGCAGTGAGACTTGCATCATAGAAGCTCGTTCTCGCAACGATAATGAATAGCCCGGTGCAGTTACTAGTATATAATAACATAAGGCTACAAGAGAATTGGTAAACCGCAAAACAATACGATCAAAGAACATATCGCACCCTCATATCACGACATCCCCTCCATCCTCCTCCTCAGCCATCACATCTACATCAACGTCAACTCAACTCCTTCAACCCTTTCTCAACCTTCTCCCAAGCCCCTGGGCTCATAGTCAACGTAAGCCAATACCCCCCACCATGATCCCTGCCCAAAATATGCACCAGCAACCTCGCCGTAGGATTCGGTCTCCTACTCGATGCATGGTGAAAAACGGGTGTGCCAGGTGGGTTATACCTCTTCCCGTCATTCCCGCTCTCCTCCCCGTTTCCATCACCACCACCCGCCCGTATCACCGCTGGAGAGAAGTCAATCACAGAGAAGAACTTTGCCTTGGTCCAATCCGTAAACGGCACCAACAACGCATCCGGGTCACTGTAGAGGAGGGTGGAAGGGTCGCCAGATATGCGTTGTTCACGCAGACTGGCTAGTACTTGGGCTTCTGTTGCTTGTTCCAACAACCTCTGCCTGTTATGAAGAGCAGTCTGACCTAAGGGGCCGGTAGACACGGCGGGGCCCAGAAAAGTGAAGCCGGGGATAAGCATATTCGATAGAAATACACCTTTCGCATCGATCAGGGATGGGAGGCGGAATCGGGCGTTCATTGCGTGTAGAGCGGTTAAGGGGCGCGGGGTTGGAAGGGAGGAGGCGATACAGTGGAGGGTGAATGCTGTAATGATGTCGCCATCGCTTATGAATGGTTTCTCCTTCTCTCTCATAGTGTCATCATTGTCGTTGTCATTGTCAGAAGAAGTAAAGAGGTCTGCCTCAGCCCTCACCCTCAACTTCCCCATAACGCTCTTAGGGAGATAGATCGTCTTTGTCACCGGCTTCGGCCCTGTCAACATATCCCACGCGAATCTCGCTCCAAACTTCACAAGACTCAGTCCTTTCAGCTGTTTGGACTTGAGCACGTATTCTTCCACCGCGCTGGTAGCGCCATCAGTCAACGCCGCCAATGTGTCTTCGCGTGCACCCAGCACGGGCGGTACTTCGGCCTCCCGACCGGCTAATAGCGTCGACCACGCTTGAAGAAAAGCAGCTTGGCCCATGACATCCATTAGAGTGTGCGGCCATGATAAGCCCACAAGCGTTGCATTGGTGAAGGAGGTTATGTGGACGGATATCTGGGGTACGTCCCCGGAGAGGAGATCTTCGATTGTTGCAGGTGCGGAGGGTGAAGCGGCTAGGTCGTTGAAGTCTGTGGGTCCGGGACTGATTTTAATGCTTCCGTCGGGTGATAGGGGCAGTTTCCTGGCTAGTTCGTGGTCCTGGATGGAAGTATTGATACTGTCGTGTGTGTAGGAGAAGGCGGGGCGGGATGATGTGAAGGCGCGGGGGACGTGGATTTCTAGTGTGCCATCGGCCTACACGTTGTGTTAGCACGCTAGTCGAGTCAATGAAGAAATGTGGGGTTTCGCTCTTACCTTGAGTCTCAAGCGGCCACCAAGTTTTCTCCAATCTCCCGTTTCCAAGAGTTTTGCGAGCGAGGATTGAAGTTTATCTGCGTCAAGGACATTGTTAAAGCAGAGTGTCCATGTGATTAAGATGCTGCGGAAAGTCTTCGTGTCATCTAGTACATGCCCTGGATAGATATCGTCGTCGGCATATGGATCTGGTGTATCATCTGCTAAAGAAGAAGATTGTTTCGTGAAGCGCTTCAAGAAATCCATTATTGTGATGCCAGAGTTGAAACACTTGGTAAGAAGAGAGCAAATACTAAGTATCACGATTTGTTGAACTACCTGCTTCAAACACCTAGCTGGAGAGTGTTCTTATCGCAGTGTTTAAATAGGGGCTTGCTAGCATCGTCGCTTTACCCGGTTTTCAGTATTAGGTAAAGATAGCCGGCTGACAGGGTTTAGTGATCGGCACAGATCGCCTCTTGAAACCAGGCGTTGACCTCGTCGCCTGCAACACGCTCTTCATCCTCGTCCTTGTCGTCCTTTTCGTCCGTTTCGTCCTTTTCGTCCTTGTCATCCTTGTCATCCTTGTCATCCTTTTCATCCTTGTCGTCCTTTTCGTCCTTTTCATCCTCATCCTTCGCAGAACTACTCTGTTCTCACGACACCAGTCTCTTCGCTACTTCATTTGTTTCGACCAAACTAACGAGCTTCCTCTTTTTTCCGTCGCTCTTGTCTGCAAACTCCTTGCAGACTTGTAACACCCTCTCACCCGAGCGATCATCTTCAGGATCTTCGATGAAAGTCTTCGGATTTCGTTTAAGCACGCTCATCTTTGATTGTCCGTGGCTGCAGCGGCGATGTTCCGAATGTTAGTGCGAATGGTCAGAACCCGACAGAGGGTAGCTGGAGACATCGTTGGCTAGGTATGTATCCTCGGCCATCTCGAACGGCGTACGTCCCGATGCATTTTCGCGGAAAAGAAGGTCGTGACGACATTCGAGCATGATGCGAAGGAGCGCGTCAGCATTGCGCCAAACAGTGGAATGCATGGGCGTATCGCCTTCGCCCTTGCTAAACTCGAGCATTAGCCTAAGGACTTCCTCATGATAAAGCACGATTGAGATGCCAATGGTGTGGGCGTAAAGCTAGCGCACAAGAGGCGTAGCTGCACCAGGCATGTACGTCGTGCGCACGGTGAACAAACTGGAGAGAAGGCGAGTATCGATGTGGCCAAGTAACTCACGAGCCTGTTCGACGCCCTTGTGCTGCCGGTTGATATTGTCGAAGATGGAGTGGACGATATTCGCTCCGGTGTTATCGCCTGTGGTCTGGTCAGCACTAGCTCCCAGAAGAATCTTAAGGCCTGTTCGGTTGTGTGTTTTAAAGGTTAAAAGTAGGGCAAAGGTTGGAGAACTATCGGACTAAAATCTTTATTTTCTATCTAGATAAAATAAGCAACAAGAGACGATTCTAACGCTACTCTTCTTTTTTTAGCCTTTAGCTAGCTAAAATCGCACTTGGGCTGGGGTACGGACGGGCCAGTATTTTGGCACTTCGCCTGGCGAAGCCCAGATATCAATATATATAGGCATATGTTTTGAACGTTAAACTAACTGTTTTATAAATCTTTCATCATATCTCCCACGCCGTAGTTATCTTATCAGAAGAATAGCTTAAATTCGAAGAGGCCATTGGGATGAGGCCACGATTGGTTGGATATGAAATTCACGAAGTTAAGGCAAATACCGGCAACATGTCTCCTCCTGTTTCCAGGCCTTAGTCCACAGACGTATTAGATGTTTATATCGACCCTTAGAATTAGTCCTTAATGTCAGATATCATGTGACCGTTTTATAGATGAGACCCAAATAGACGGAAGCGATATCAACGTCAGAGTTTACCTACCTAAAACAGCGGAAAAGGCATTAAATGTTAGCTTGTTGTAAGCAATCAATGTATGGCATTACACAAATATTATCAGTTGCTTTCTAGTTTCCGTAAGCTCAGAAACGACATGGTCTCGAGCCTACAATGCTGATTCCTGGGCTTAGATGGAGGAGGTTGGTGTACCGGTAGCGTTGACGGTGAGGATGGTATGGACGACAAGATTTGCATGGGAGGAAGTCACTCACCGATTACAACTATCGTGCGGTTTATGGTAGAACACTCTTCAATGCCCTTCATCTCGGTCGAATATCGCCTCGCTCCAGAACATCCGTGGCCTACAGGTCTTGAAGATTGTGTCCAAGTAGCAAAATGGGTAAGATCCATTACAACGAGCCGCAGCATGACCTTCCCATGAATGAAACTTACTTGTAGCAAAGCTAGCGATGTTTTCTCCGGCAAAAACGAGTCCAAAATCCCGAAACCTGGTTTGATTCTTTCCGGAACTTCGGCTGGAGGACAACTGGCTTTCGCAACAGCATCTAAACTACTCGATTCGAACGTACAACTATGTGGTATCGTCGCATCAGTACCCTTGACTGTCGATCCCAAAGTAGTACCACCCACGATCAAGGCCAAATACACTGCGATGGAGGAGAATCGTGACGCCCCAATACTTTCTCCAGAGATATTGGAGATCTTATTAGGTCAGTTCAGTTACTCAAGGGACATTGGAAGACTTTTCAAACAAGATTTACATCATGTGCTTACAAATAAGTAGCCGTGACCGGACATGATCGAACTGACACCTCTTTTAACGTTTTGCTATCTCCAAGCCTAGAAAGGTTTTCTCCAACATATATAGCCACATGCGTCACTGATGTTCTGCGAAACGATTGAATTTTGATGGCGCAGAAGCTCAAAGCGAATAGGCGTGTAAGTTTTTGGATATTCTCTCGGAATCATGATTCACAACTCTTTGGCGTCGCTGTTCGCCACGATAATTATCCTGGGTTACCTCATATTTTTTGGACGATTCTTGGCCTCCCCATACTTGATAAGTTTCACAAGAATCTGATTAGCGGTATTGATTTTGTTTCAACAAACTAGACAGGAAATGGTACCGTCCGGGAAGCTATTCAATTTAAATGAGTTGATATAAGATGAGGACAAAGAGCAGATGAAAAGGAACTCTACAAGTGGTGCTTTCATTCAATAACCCAACGTCCGGATCAAAATACACACGGCTTCTTATGTCCATTGCCATATAGTTCTCTGTTAGAGGCATCCTGTTCGACAAGGGTGGAGAATTAGAAACTTTTCATCTCGAATGAATTGGTACCAAACGCTAAAGAGACATCTGTACCGCGCGTCATGGTGTAAAAATCAAAGTCTTCTGAATATTGCAATATTGCACCAGGGAGGTAGCAGTCGGCATTTGAATGATTTTGGCCAGCAATCAACCCCTTATCAAGAACTCCATCAGTGAAAGGTTAATTGGAAAACTTACTCATCAGCTTGATTGTATCGTTCTTTTTTTAAGGATGGAACGTGTGTAGTGGTGAAACTAGGATGTAGTCCTCTTCACTGGATGGATTAAAGGAGCCTTCCAGCTCGGGAAAGCGGCTATAAATCCCCGAATCAATGTGATGATTGTCGCGATTCAAAATACCGCGCTGAAACATTGGGTCGATTTCCAAATCACTGTCATCGGGCTTGAAAGTGACTGGGTTGGAGACATCTTTGCCTTGAAAGTCTCACAGTCTAAAGGTTTACGTCGTAATAGCTACAAGCTTAGAGTAGTCGTATTCCTGATGATTCTGGGCCAGAAATGATCTAAGCTTTGGCCTTACCACCACAGTCAGCCCCAATATACCATTCATTAGGGTCACTCACCAATGTATAAAATCGAACCCTCCTGGGTGTTGCTCTTCAAGTTGCAAGTGAGTAGGCCAAAAGAAGTAAGGAGATATTCTCAACGTTTCTTCGATCAAGAATGTCAAAAACTGAAAACATAAGTGATATCTCCGCATCAAGTGAACTTGTTGGCTTACTTTGAAATATGCGTATAAGAGCCAAAATTGTGCAATGAACTCGGCGTCTGAAAAGAGATGTGCTTGATAATGTGATAATAGAATGAATGCACAGTATAGATAGATCATCTACATCGTGTTTCAACCGGCATTGAATGTAGGTAATTCTGTTTGTCAAGCTCTGGGTCCGACGTCGGCATATGCTGGTCACGATTGTTGAGACATCTTGCCAAGTCGTGAAAGAAGGATGGATTGGTGATGAACCGATTAATCTTTTCTGTGATCCTTAATACGATTCGTAGAGAAAAATTGTTGAGACATTATCTTACCAGTGGTCAACTTCCACGGCTCCTTTTCCAACCTCAAAATGATTAAGCATAAATTCATGGCCAAAGATGTAGCGACGAGAAACATCCAAGGTCATGAGTGATTCAAGAAGGCCATGGACAGAATATGTTTTGCGTTCAGAAGATTTTTGACCCTTCATGATCAAAGCAACCTGAAAATAAAACGAAGTCTGCGTGCCAGTCTTGAGGACGAGAGAAATATTCAAGCTTGACGCATGTTGTCTTTCTCGGCATATTGTTGGGAGTCGAGGCTTTCTTTGAGGCGAAAGGGCTGCTGGGCTGGGATCTTTGTCAACAGGATTTGATAAGGTTAGGTCAGAAGTGTCTATGTTAGCATCAATGTCCAGGCATTCTCGACTCCAAATCACGATTTTTTCCACAAGTGACTGGTATTGATTGCAGATATCCCGGAGGTAGCTGTTCTTCTCGACCAAACGATAAAGACGTGTGCCTTTCTCCTTCTCTAGCGCCTCCATGAAGAGTTTAGCCAGTTCGTCCTGCGCACGTATTGTATCTTGCCTCACTTTTTGCTGATGCATTTGATCAGCGAGCCTTTTCTTCTCAATACTGTCTTGTGCCTTCTTCTTCTGGGATGTAGTAGGACTCATGGCGAACGGGTTTTCTCAACGTGGACATGTACAAGGTAGGTTATCCACAGGGCATAAATTCTAATTCAGCGATTAAGTTATTTCAGCAAGTCAAGGATTGCAAATTAGTCTACCCCGCATGCTAAGTACCAATGCTTGTCTAGTGGCGGCCGGAATCAATATGTAAATCCGACTAAGTGTTATTGTGTCCGGGCACATCCGGAGGGCAGCAGCATGTAACTAATTGCTTATCAGCTGAACCCTGTATACAATGTGATTTACCCCACCTTGCCGCACCCTATTCTTCTCCACAAATCCCTTGTCATTAGGGGGTTTTGTGCGTGGTATCTGGCCAATTTAGCAGACGCCCATTCATGAATAGGTTTTACGACTACAGACTTCTCGCGCACGTTGTTCCACAGCACCGAGTGCGCACCACTTCTCGATTTTTAAGTTAAATTTCACCTGGCAAACGCCAGCGCAATGTCTTTCGCGACCTGGAAAGATAAAATGACAAGTAAGCAGCTGCCAAAGAAGCGTTTGAGCGACAAACTTTGTCAACGTCGTACGAGACAATAGCCTGAGCGAGCCATTGCTGAGAATGAAGAACGACTTAATATACTACTAGCCAGAGACAAAGCATCACTCATTAATCGACTGCTCGTGCAAAATGTAGAGCTTCGTAAACAGATCGCGAGGTATCGAAGCCAACTAGAAACCACTTTGATTTCAGGGAAAAAATGCTTGGAAATCGATGCGGATAGCTACATGGACCTGGACTTATCACGGCACTCGGATGAAAATCAGGATATAGTCAAAGCTTCTGAAGGGTCGAGTGGTCATGCGACTGAATCTGAAGTCGCTGGTCATGAAAAATTGGCCGTAATCACTTTGGGCACATCAGCATATGTGAAAATGGCCAGGATCATGGGGTTCTCCCAGCGCGATGATCAAGAAACAACGACAAACATGCTGCTTGAAGCAATTATGGAATGGAATATCGCGAATGAGCACGAAACATCTGGGCCAGAGCTCATACTCGATCACTTTGGCCTCAAGGCTGAGCCATTCAACTTGACATTAGGTATACTTGGTCCTCAACCTTTATGATGGGCCGAGATTCTAACCAAATGATGAGAGAAATTGAACCAGCAGGCATCCGCTACAGACTTCTTTCCAAATTTACTGGAAAGTCTTTTGTATGAACGAGAAGTCTTACCTAGAGAGGTCCCTGAAAGAGACATAGAGCCATTGTCTACCATCCAATTGTAGCGTCTAGCGATAGCGTACTGTGCGTATGAGACTGTCCCCGTCTGGCGCAAGCAGTTCAAATCACCACGAGAATATATCATCATATTCTGGGCTCAGTATCGGTACTTCTTGGTACGCTTGCGGCCTGATATCACACATGCCGCTTAGGCTATCGTATTTACCACTTCTCAGTTCCTCATTTTGCCGACCGCAGAGAATTACCGTTCTTGCCCGTCATGGCGACGGCCAACGCCATCGTTATTTCGGCGTGCACACCCAGGCTTCGTCGATCTCGTTGTATGGTACGACATCTGATCAGAGTCACATCGCCGAGGACAGTTGCTGATTCTTGACGACAGGCCACAGCTTCGAGAGGAATTGCCCAAAACCTGGCAACGATACGATTTGAAAGAGCCGACAATAAATCTGGCTCAAGGCTTCCGCATTCCAAGTATTAAGACCGATCCACGAACGATGCTCAGACTCAGGCCAAGCATGACCGATATATGCTTATACGAAGGAGTGGAGAGCGTTTTGCATGATCACACAAATCTCGAACTGGATAAAGACTGTTTACATAGCTACCCTGACCTTGTGGAAACTATGCAGCAAAACGGTAGGGTACATATGGCTTCGGCGACAGACTTGAATGAACCTGGTTGTTCACAGCAGTCTAATAACGAACAACGTATTCCCAGCCATGATGATGGCGGATCGACAGCAGACAATTACAATTGTAGAACAGAGACAATGATGGCCACTTCTCAACCATTACCGAATAACCCCTGCCATGAAATAATGAGTTTCCCATCTCCAGTCGAAGTGCACTCGGGATATGACCAGATATTCGAAGGAATTCCTTTCGCAGGGCAGCCGGTCCATGAAAATCTTTTGGCACAGATGGAGGGGCTTGGAGTCAATGTCCACTTCCGCAAGACTTCCATTTGTGGCTTACGTCAAGTTTGGTGGAGAATTACTCGCTGTGATTAAGTTCGCTGAATAAGCTTCATTGCTTTCTGTGTGCTGTATCTGACTCTCTTGCAAAGTCCTGAGATCTCTCATGTTGATTCTTCAAAAAAAGGTTTCATAAGATATTTTGGTATCATTCGACCCGAAACGAGCTACAGGAACTTGGCTGAACGTTAAGTTCTAGAGAAACTCATTTCTCATATCATCAAACAATACCGAGTCTGTGACATGGTCTCTTTTGACTGTCACACGAGATGCGATGTCGAATGGAATTGACACAAAGCAAAAACTTCTCAATTTTGTTGGATACTGAGGAGTATCCTACAAAGGTCGGACACTGTGTAGTGAATTTCATATCATTTGGTATGGAATATGCGTGGCTGCAAGATTTGCATAGGGACAGAGAGCTTCTTTCTTTAAAGTTGATAGAAACTTAGCTGAGCAAATGTGATCTACCAGATTCTGAGTTAATAATGGGTCACCTGTACAAAGTTCACGTCGAGAATTTTTTTATAAACATTGCTATTGAGCTGTTTTGTACCAGATTTTGGATAAAGTAGAGCGCCTAAAGCAAATCACAAGTTAATATATGTACTATAAGCCAGCGGCTAGCGAGAAATCATCTCAGGCCGTTCGACTAGTAGCACGATGTAGAAGATCTCAGCGCGCATGTCTCACTCTATCACCTGATCTATGAAAAGATAACCTGATTATCCTCAAACAACATTTTGCCACGATCACCTTCCGCTAAGTGAGCTTGCCATTTCTCATACGTCGATTCGTCCGTGAACACGAGTTCCTTGATAGCGTCGAATCCGGGGTACTTGGATTCTGAGTTCGATTTTACATACCGGCGCTTGTAGAGCAGGGGCGCATATCATTCATTTTGCATTGACTTCACTAGAGGTATATGTGAAGTCTCGTCATATGCTTTGAATTGTTCAAATGAAAGATGTAGGGCCTTGTAGACGATTGCAATTTTCGTAAACGTCATTGCGAGGGGCTGGGTTTTCCGCTTTCTCGCCGAGACATGACTTGCTAATTTTATAGCGTCGACGCTAGGAGCTCCATTAGGGAAAGTCTGAGAGGTGTCATATTTTATGACCATCATATGAGACGCCAAGGAAATTACGTACGAGCAGTATCCGTTAGGTCGAATAGTTCACCATTATCTGAAACTGTTATTACGATTTTGCGATATCTTCCTACTTCTGAAGTTTATTATCTACTAGAAGAGCTACCAGAAAGGTGACGATTTTGAAGCGGGGAGATGGTAGGACCTCCCTGCAGGCGTCAGTCTGGAAATAGCTCTCACTGCACGCCAAGATACCATCGCGAAACCTTGCTTAGAGGCGTTCTGCGCTTTGCCTTTTGGGTCCAATCTGGCCCGAAATATCGCGATGGATAAAGCAAGTCATGATACGGCATGCAGTGCAAGAAAGCCGAAATGATGGTCTCCACATATGTGAATGCTAGTAGATTCTGCTTAAGAATATCTCCATAGGTCTACAACTCTTCTCGCATATGATCCAATTGATTTGGCAGGAGCTTCACAGCAGAGCTTTCTGTCGAAGTCTTGCGTTGCAGTCATGTGCTTGATCGGAAGAATAACGCAACTTTTTTTTTCCAACAGTTACTATGTCCTCTTTTCCAACACTAGAGCATAAGGTTTGTTATACCCGGATGCGCCTACATGTAGGGGGAGTTCTGGCCCAGATGCCGACCTTGTAACGTGTAGGCCGACGCCGTGAAAGATCAATATCATTGTGATCTCACCTGCTCGCGACTTTCGGGATACCTACATTGATTCGCACTGTATTCATGATTTAACAAAATAGATCATGATGCGAAGCTAGAATCTCTATGCAGTAGTTAAGCGCTGAGGCGTCAAAGCTTTGATCGAGGTCAAGGAGGTCAAGGTAAAAGAGAGAAGCAGGTCCTGAATTTGTTTTCAAGAACTCCTCAGGGTTCTCGGAATGTTTAAATGATATCTGAATGAATCAATTAATATGATTATTTGGGATGCATGAGCAGTGGTGACTACTAGGATTGCTAGGCATCGAGGTAATTGTGGTTACGTGACTCGTTTTGTGGATAACGCTATACGTGGCATAGTCTTTGTTGTCATGCGATTCGTATTTGGTTCTGAAAAGCAACAATGCATGATGCAAATGTTTCTTAGTGCAGCTTTTGAATCGTACAACGATATGGTCGGCGCGTAGCGCGTCAGCTTGTTGTACCAAACTGAGACATCTTACTCTACTCGAAGTTATCCGCACGTTATTCGCCTATGACATGTGTGCTCTACCCATTCTATATCTTCAAAAATATCGCTCTAGAGCCTTGAAAGCTTCATACTTGATGTCATTTCCCTCTCGCGAATTAACAGGAAAACAAGTTTTTTGACGTATCGCTGTATCAGGTTTAGCTTCTTCGTGTAGTGGGTCTATGCTATTCACAGTCGGGTAACTTCTATCTGTAAACTCTAACGTTGTTTGCTGTCAAGAGTGTTCTGGTCCGAGCTTTAAAAGTAAAATGCGCGAACTCTGAGCATCACACTAGTGCTATTATAGTGCAGGCCAAATACACAAGAACAAACAATACACAGCATAGGATTTGTTAAATGAAGTTACCATGGCGACGTTTGCCATTAACGTATGTATATCTACATTGCATTCTTCGATCCAAAAGCAAGCCAATAATTTATAGTCAAGCGTAAAGGGTGTTTCCATTCAGAACATTCGTGACTCATTTCTGACTTCTGAAGCGTGCACTAAGCTGTACAGGGTATGTCGGTCGGCGACTTCGACGGACTCACAATGAAGTCGTCATATGCGATGAGGCTCCCACTGTGGGGAGTGAGGTTCGGTGAACCGTTGGAACCCTTGGTAACAGTGAAGCGACTTGAGTAGCTGCAATTTTAAAGTTAGCATGATTCTATAAAACTGCTATGGTGCTCAAGGAGCGGTGAAGGTGGAACGTACTATGCCAGAGAACAATTGCCACCATCAAAAGTAGTCTCAATGACACCAAGCACCTGATAAGTCTTCTGCGCAGCCGTCTCTGAGGAAACGGTAGTCACATTAGGCAAATGATCCCAATGCTTGTTGCCCGCTGTCGGGAGTAGCGCCTGCTTCAATGCGACAATCTGCTCGGCCCCAGTGGCAGTGTTTTCAAGAACAATGAGCTTCCCATCCGCTGTAAAGAAATTGGTGAACCTTGATGTAGCAGCGGGGTCCTCAGCAGAGGCATAAAGCCTACAAAAGAAACTTAGCGATCTACCTCTTGAATGCACTCGTAGGGGACTTCTTGGGTGGCGTACTCTTGCAGAAAGGGCTTAAACGCTGCATCAACTCCAGTTCCTGCTGAGTATAAGGACATGTCAACTGATGCAGCCATTCCCACGAAACACGCAGGAGCGATGATAGATAGTAGCTTCATTTTAGTGATTTTTGTATTGATGGTAAAAGAAGACAAAGGAGTAGTGGATCATCAAATGTCTGGGGGTTGGAAGTTTTTATACCCGGGCATGCCAGTACCGCCGCTGAATTACTCCACGGAAAGGATTCCTTCTCGACTCGCACCGGCTCTTCTTAGCATCATTTAGGATGAAATAGTTTGACATATCGTCACCTGGATTTCCCCAGCTAACCGTCCAGACTAGAGTCGGGCCGAACCGTCGAATCGGGCCGGACAGATTTTGTACTTATACTGCAAAATGGTAGGCGCGTACGTGGGATTGACGGAGATTACTCCTTTAGTATTCGAAGGAGGATAGAAGTGGAACTGTTTTAGTCATGCATAGATAACACGATGCGATTCGGAAGATAACTGGGGCAACCCTTGGACATGGTAATAGGGGTATCCCGAGTAGATCTAGCTTTTGGGTTCTAGTGCGAAATCCTACCGGATGTACCGGTGTTCTGACACAAACTTAAAGGATTCCGTGAACGAAGCCTTGATTTAGGTATTCGTAGGGAAAGTCTCTGATAGGGCTATGGGTTTGTTATTGTGCTATCATACTAGCTATTGTTATAATTAGAATATATGTGGGATAAACAGTATGTCTCTGCCAAGCGGTGTACCTAGCTCGAACTAGTAGCATTGAGAACAACGCTAAAAATTTGGACGAAAGAGCCCAGACCTTATCTTTACTCTACCCTCATCATATTCTACCCTGAAAACACTCTATATGGTATGTGAAGTCATCTTGAGACAGAGGTTGCTTGACTCATTTGGAGGAAAATCATAAGCAAAGCTAGCAAATTTAGATTTCTCAAATATTCCGCCATGGATGCTGAACCCCTCAGTCCAGGTCACTGACAGCTGCATTTTTCCATTTGCCACCTCAGCAACTATCTCAAAAAGTGCAGCAATTGCACCGTCGACCATATCAGTAAAGGCATAGTCGATTTTGAAGTCGGTGAAAGAAATGGGGCTGTCACTGTGGTAAGGCGTCCCCTCATTTTGCCCTATTTGGCCCCACCAGTGACGGCATACCCGTAGATGATACTCCGAGTCCAGACCATGCTCGCAGCAAGACCGTGCACTAGTTTTCTTGAGATAAGTTCGAATGTTTGTCTTTGTTGTAGAGAACTCACAAGGTAGCGATTAGCCATATGGACATCAGTGGCAGCGTCGCGCTTAGTGATCGCGCGAGACATGACGGGGTTGCCAACAATGACGATATCTGCAAGGATGAGAGTTGGAAGAGAAATGAGATCCCAAACTGCTATTGCGCTAACGGGGCTGGAAGTGGGGGCGCTTGGCTTAGCGGGTATTGTGCTGCATGCAAGGAACAATGACATCCACGTCTTGGTGCTGGTCAGGAACATCTTGAGTAAGAGAAAGCATTTAGTGATATGATGGTTGTTGCAATGATTGATTCCTGAAGCAGCTGGTTCTGAAAGTGGGCGATGTTGCAGGTGCTATCGAACAAGAATAGCAATAGTGTTTGACTCTTACGCTTACATAGTCCTCACTGCCGCGCTCATGGTCGCTCTTCGGAACAATTACTCTTTGTTGCTCATCGTAAGTACTAGTTCACACGAAACTATGTAAAGTATCGCCAATCGTCTTTCGAAGTGTGTCAGCTAATATTCACGTCGCATCTGGTCGACGTTTTGATCGATCGGAGTACGCGTAATCCTACAGTAATTCGGCATGGAAAATAAGTCAACCATTAATGTTCACACAGGTCGGACTACGGAGAGAGAAAAGGAGATTGAATCAGAATTCATCATATCCACATCAATTCAGCTTTGTAAGTTTCATTCGGTGGGACTGGGCGAATCGTAACAACGGTGATTTCGAGTCCGTGCAATCAGGCCCCAGCTTAGTGTAAAGAGTTGCAGTTACGCGCACGTGATATGAGCGATGCAAAATGAAGGACTGATTATCTCAATCTTGAAACATCGAGAAGTGTTACTTTTTGCTCACAACAATCACGACGTATCTTCAGCATTATTGTCTGATACATCGCAATATCTGAATCGTTACTATCATATATTTCCCTTAACTCTCGCTCATTAGATCCTTCATTTTCGCCGTTGTAAATACTGCTCTGCTATGCTTGCTGCTGATTCCGCTTCGGAATTCCACCCCGGCGCGCAGGTGCAGGTCCAGCAAAGCGATGCAACCAGCTGAAGGGTGAAATTGTCAGCGATTACAAGGGCTTCCAAGTAGCAATATACAAGTAGAGCGTTCTGATAATCTCTTTATATCAGGATTAGATATCCATGAAGCTACTTATCTAAAGAAAGGTTACTAGGGCAAGGGTATGAGGGCAAAAACAGGCGATAGTACCTGCTAGCTCCTTCACCCAAGCAGTGTGATCTAGATCGAGTCATCTTGCATTTGAATATTTGCCCTTGTTTGATGTGTCTAAAGACATAATTGAAAGTCTACGGTGGCATGTCTTGTCTGGGTATTGACAGCCGTTGTTCGTCTCGACCAACATGGCCGTTGACATTACTGCATAGAGCGGCTCTACCAAATGCTCGAATCAAAACCGTGGAATGTGAAAATGCGTGTTTGGCACGGATGTGCTGCCCGTGAGGATATCTAGTGTCGATGCATGTCTCGCCATTTCATCTCATTTAGACGCTTCACTTGCCCATGCCTGGTTTTTCTTCTGACCTTCCTATACTTAGAGGTATCTTTCAGCTTCTATCACTGGTATGGGCTCTTTTTGCATTGATGGCAATATGGATTATGTATCGTTGATGAATGAAAAAGACCAGGTCGATGTTACCTACTTATTGTTTCCAGTGGCAACACCCCAAAAGTACGCCGCCCAAGCACCAGCGATGAGAAACAGAAGTGCAGTGAACAAAGTTATGCTGACGCGTCGATTTTTCCTCCCTTGATCTCCTCTAGCAAAAGCTTCTTTCCGCTCATTGATGAGATCGCCTTTGATCAGCCTATTCTTTCGAGTCCATTGTAGATGACCAATGTCTGGATTGAAGACGCCACATGCCACAAGGGCAGCCGCGACGACAACAGATCCGGCGGCAAGAACCACATACACAATGACCACGTTATCATAGGAGTTGTTGTGGCGATCTTGAATGATACCGGTGATGATGCGGATGATGATGTTCATGCTGTTGTTCACAGCAATCTTGACCGCATATCCCGAACCAAAAACCTCTTGATACCACATGGACGTGCGGATGGAATCGATGATAACGGTTGGCCCGAACATGGATGCAACGCCGAATATGCCAAACGAAGCCGCTGTCCCACCAATGGTCGGACCCCAAGCGGCTAAGCACATGGAGATAAGCATACCGAGACCGCAGAAGAGCATAAGGGAGAGGCGGTTGCCAAGCAGGTCGACGAAAATACCAATTAGCGGTACCAGGAAAAAACCCAAGTATTGCGACATGGCCGAGTACCAGCCAGCTGTTACTGCATCAATATTGAAACGTAGTTCAGCCATTTCGGTGGCATTCTGCGAGTAAACGACTGCTGTGCTTGTTTGAAAAAGTGAAAAGGCAACGATTCCCCAAAACGGCCAGGGGAGCCTCAGCGTTTTGCCGATTTCGAACTTCTTGTTGCTCTCCGTCAACTTTTCACCCGTTGCTGGATCAGCAGTACCGGCGTAAATTTTCGTACACCATCGCGCGAAGAACCAGTAGATGAGTGTCATCAAGTTGGTGAAAAGGTTCATGAAGACCGCTGTCCAATACACCCAGCTAAAGTCTCCAGTCTTCTTTGCGATAACATTCGCGGTCGCTTTGCCGACGAAGGATCCGATTTTTCCGATTCCGAGCTCGAACCCAAGCGTGGAAGCGAAACCGTTCGAAGGCGCGAACCACGAGCTGAAGATTTTGTACTGGGCAACCTGGGTAGCGATATCCCCAAATGCCTGTACGACAACCCCGAATATCATGAATTTGTAAGAGCGGACCGTCGTCGCAGCAGCGATGAATATGGCGCCAACACTATAGATGGCGTTACCGTAAAGCATGGCATCTATGGCTAGTTGTCAGTCTCAGTAACGTTTATGCAGGGAGGGGGTACCGACTTGCACCACCAATTCTATCCGTGACAAGACCGCTAACAAGGATGAGAGCCGTTTTCATGAAATCTTCGCTCGCCTCCAGGACGGCATATTTGGCGTTGTTGATGTGCAATTGCTGTTTCCTGTCAACACATGCTGACGACAAGCTGTGAAGGTTATTGGTGATACCTTTTTCAATGTGCTCTTCATTGCCCCTGTCACACCGCTGCTCCAATGGGACCCAAACCCAATTGCCGTGACCAAAAGAACTGCAAACAGCTTCATCTTCATAGGAACCTCATTGGTTTGGGCAATTGACGCGCCATTGCTTGAAGCTTCCGCATTGCTGCTCTGCTCTTCGGCATTGTGAGTTGAGCCAGACTTTTCGTTGACAACACCATATCCCTGACCGATGGCGGGGAGCTTGGTGTCCATGGTCGTAAGACGTAGCAGCCGTCGAGAAGGGGAGCAGGCGTTTGATCAGATAAGATGAGCAGCCGGGGCAGTAATGACAGGCGGGTTTTGTATAATAACCTGGGACGGGTTGAGTTACGCTAAGCCTATGGCTCCACCATCAGCCCAGTCTGCGTTTCGGCCCTTTCTCTCGTATCGTTACTCGACAGCCCATGGTGCAAAAGTTGTTGAATGTCTCGGGCTCAGTAAGCATTCTGCCAGGTTCATGACAGGAGCATTGGCCGACGGACTATACTCAGTGCCCTCTACACAAGTCTATCCTGTCGATCTGGCTCTAGATGCAAATTCTGAACTGTACCGCGTAGGTCTTACTGTACATAAATGGCGATCCTCACATACTTGACACCCTAAGCTTCCATGGCACATAAGGAGCTAACGGCTCGGGGTCGCCATAGGGCATAGTATCTAGGCCAAGTGGACCGTGCAAGTCGAAAATTTTATCAGATCCTGCATGATAAGGTGCCTGGCATGGTACATCAGGAAGCGTTGCGATATCGGGCTTAAGGCACGGGAAGCGCGACGAGTTTGGGCCAGTCATGTGCCGAAAGTGGAAACCGGGATGCAGATTTGCTGTCCTAATCCATCTGGTCGTGCTACATTCGACGTGCATTTAGACACAATTAAATACGGAAATAGGTAGGACAAATGTCTCGAATAGATGAAGCGGATAACGGGTGGGTGATGGATGGACAGATGGGAGTATAAGACGGTAATCGCGAAAACGCGTCGTGAACACCCAAGCGGGCAGTTTTTCTTGGCACGCTAACCTTATTTGACGCTTATGCACTGCGGCCAAGCGTGTGATGTTTTGCTTCACAACACCTGGACTCCGTTCAGGCATACTGTATGGATAGTAACAACCAGTTGAACAGGTCCATGTGCCATTGCTATCCTATCAATTTAATCTAGGATATTGGCAATAGTATATCGAGCGGACGTTGCTTTGCCAAACGATATATACATAGCGCGTTTGACCATTGACACGCAGAATTTGCAGGCAGGTAATTGGGCACTGGCAACATTCGACCAACATTCTGCCATTTCAAGCTACCATCCCGACGAAGAAATGGCCAATTTCCAGAGTGCCAGCAATCGGTTTCTGGCCTGGTTCAAGGATTGTGGAGGCGTCTTCCGCGACGATCTTCTGGAAGTTCGAGACCTAAGGTCCAAAGACGCCGGTCGCGGCATCAGTAGGTTGAACATCATCGCAGGCAAGGAGTCATCGTAGCGTTGACTTTTATGCAGTTGCGAAGCAGGATATTCCAGAGGACACCACCCTCTTCACAATACCAAGGAACATCATCATCAGTATACAAACGTCAGACCTTGCCGAGAAACTTCCTGGAATTTTTGAACAACCCGTAGATGCGGATGATGACAACGAGGACGACGACAACGAGGACGACCAGGACCATGAATCCGAAGCATTGGATTCATGGGGCTCATTGATCCTCGTCATGCTCTACGAGTACTTGCAGGGTGAGGCTTCACGATGGAAAACTTACCTTGACATACTTCCGCAAGCTTTCGAAACCCCAATCTTTTGGACACCGGATGAACTAAAGGAACTCGAGGGCACATCTCTTACAACGGAAAAGATTGGAAAAAAGGAGAGTGACCGAATGCTTCGTGAACGCATTCTGCCCATTGTCACAAGCCATCCCGATGTATTTTCTCCGCCCGGCGCCCCTCGCCTAAACGAAGATGACCTTCTCTCGCTCGCACATCGCATGGGCAGCACCATCATGGCATACGCTTTCGACCTTGAAAATGAAGAGGAGCAATCCGAGGACGAAGAGGATGGTTGGATCGAGGATCGAGATGGCAAGAGTCTGATAGGAATGGTGCCCATGGCAGACATGCTCAACGCCAACGCCGAATTCAACGTAAATTTCCCAACCTTTCCATAAGAGTCGCGCTAACACGGCGCTTTTGTAGGCTCACGTCCACCATGGTGACCAGCTGCAAGTCACCTCCCTCCGCGAGAGCATCCCTGCCGGATCGGAGATATTGAACTACTACGGGCCTTTACCTTCATCCGAGCTACTTCGGCGATACGGCTACGTGACATCTGAACACCACCGTTACGATGTTGCTGAAATTTCTTGGAGCCTTGTTCGCACAGCACTTGCCGAAGAACTGAAACTATCAGAAGATACCATCGCGGACATTGAAGTAGGGATTTTCTTGTTACCTGCTAGCACTGGTGGAAATGTGTGCTGACATCAGTCAAGGGCGACGTTGAGAGAAAGCTGGAATCGGAGCTGGAAGAGTTTTTCGTCATCGAACGCGACGCGGGTGAGCCGTCGTCATATGGCACGTTAACCCAGCCACCAGTGCTTCGTGAAATCTCAACTGAACTCGAAGAACAAACAAAAGCTTTCCTAAAAGCTCTAAAAAAGCGAGATCCCAAGAGAAAGCGGAGCGAGACTATATGCAATACAGTCTTAGAGAAAGCGTTGAGGACTAGGTTGGGACAATACCCTACCTCAGCCAAGCAAGATGAATCGCTCCTCAGTAAAGAAGGTCTAAGCAAAAGGCATCGCATGGCTGTTGAAGTAAGATTAGGCGAAAAGCGCTTATTGCAGGAAGCATTGGCCCTGGTCCAAGCCGGCAAGAATACGGTGCGTGAGCATGAGGAGGAAGGACGAGTGGGAAAGAAGGCGAAGCGCGCATCTTGAACAGTTTCAAAAAACAAATGTGATTGCCGCCTTATGAATTCGGTCTACACTAAAACTCTTAGACAATCGAGGTCACTCGATGTTTCGTCTGCCTGCGTATATTGATCGTATACCGGCTAACATGGCAAATACGTTCCATCCATTCCACCTGCTGGGGCGGCAGCTATATATGGTTCTTTCTATCTTAGTCCTTCGCTTATCGAAAAAGACGATTGCCCGACATAGGTAAGCATGAATGGAGAGTGGCCGGTGCTCAGCGATTGTTCGCTTTCCGACGTTTGCGCGAACTCACCATTCCTAGATATGTCGTGTCCAGGTCTCTACAACTGCCAAAAATGTGATTAGACACGTTGAGCGTACTTTCAGCAGCAACTATGGAAGGAAGCAGTTATCGCCGTGAAACCTTACAGCAAGCGCAGTGCCCATTATGATGCAACGTTACTGCATTTACGTTTCCACAACTCCGTCCTGACCCACCCTTTCGTCAACAAAACACTCCAGTATTCTTCATTCGTATACACTTGCGAATTGCTTTAGACTGAACAACGACGTCAGCAAACATAACCATTCACTTCGTGCAATACCTCATTCCCCGCTTTGCACATTCAAAGCAGCCTATTGGGCCAATCGTATTCGGAGATAGCACGCCCAACACCTTTGAATTCCTGCCGATACTCATATCCTTTGCACGTCGATATTCACGTTCATGGAGTAGAGGGCAGCAAATCTCAGCGTCAGATGTATTACGCACGATCGCCCACAATTAAAACTCTCTTCAAGGCCTGTTTTTTTGAACAGGATCATCATGGCAATGTCATTGGCAGGATCCACATCAAACGCCTCTCCTCTTCGAGCGTCGGGCTCTATATCTAGCCTTGATCTGGAAAGCGAAGTATCATGGGGCGACGAAAGAAAACGCCCTTTCTTTCCCCCGCCAGATGAGGACATATTCCCTACCGAGCAAGCCTTTTTGGACAGTCTGATTCCTGTGCCTTTAGAGACTGTTGAGTATGACAAAAGAGAATGTGCATTCTGCCAAACACGTTATGGGGAGACCCCAGATTCAAGATCGGGTACCCCAGAGATGCCAGTCAGATTACGGTGCGCTCATGTCTTTGGCGAACAGTGCGCACGTAGACATTTCGGTCAACGCTTAATCATCGAGTTCAATCTCCGCCCCATAGAATTTCACCCAGGAACCAGAGGCAACGTCTTGATCTCGAATCTATATCGCTACGTTGTAGAAATGAACCAATACCTGGGCGACTTCGACCTCTTTAAAGGCCTCCTCGACAATCTCTATGACACCGGACGCCTAAATCGGTTTTTTGGGCCATAGTGGGGTCCCATCGTGGTTCAAATACGAGAATACATTGGTGTGGGAGATTGCAACAGGATTACAATAATGGAAAACGCTGTGTTGGTCCACTAGCAATTGCCTGCATAGGATAGGGATCCGAACCTCATAGTAGGCGATTACATGCTACTGCTTTCCTCTCTTGGGTCTTTCCCGCCATTTTTCCTCGTGTCATCTGCAGCAACAGACCTTGAAGCGTCAAAACACACGAGTGAATCGGCGACTAGCAGTTCGGGTACAAATGCTAGCGTCGCTTTGCATACACCAACGATGCCTCTCGGAGGTTCTGCTGAATCGAAAGAACAGGGTAAGCATTTTCACGTTGATGATTGGCTCTGGCTGGATTATCTCCCTGTGCACCACGATTGACATGAAGCAGCAAAGAAGAAACGCTTAAAGGAACGATTTCCTGTCCTGGTAGCCACCGAGTTGGCCAGAATTTACGCAGAATTTCGAAAAAACCCTAGTGCTGCGACACCTTTCAGGGCGGATGCACCATATTGTAAAGGACCTTACCTACACTTGGTTGATATCAAGATGCACAAGAACGTCCCTGCACAATCAGTGTACGAGGTGGAGCAACTCGACGACGAAATGTTGGATTTTCACTTGATGGATGACGACATGGACAATGCCGACATGGAAGATGAAGTCCGACTCAGTTACCTGGTCCCATTCCTCTGCCGCACGAACTGCAGTGATGCATGCTGCAAAGACGATAACGATGAGTTTGATGAGATTGAGAAGCTGGTCGATGCTCCGCCGCCGTCCCTTCTACGGTGGAAGGACGAAGAGAATCACCCAACTACTTGCCCTTTTTGCCACAAGGTCTTGTTTCTCAAGGAAAACGATTCCCGCGTCATACGTATACCGGATTCACAAACTGCCATCCATGGCACTGAGGCTAGCGATTGTGCGTCTGCTGATCATGGAGATGGTCATTCTATTCAAAGCCACGAAGATCGTAGTTTGTACACTCGCAACGGAGATCTGACTTCCAGTGATGAACACCGGGATTCCGATTCCAGCGAAGATTCAGCTCCCTCGCTCTAACCTTATTCTCTTTCCTGGCTTTTCTTATTCAGAGTATAAACACCCCACATTGTTTGAATTTGAATATTTCAATGATTTCAGTCAGTTGGTATTGGCTATCATACATCGGCTATCGGGTTTCGGGCTTGTTATGCTGTTAAAAATCGACGATTGGCGTTATTCCACAGCTTTACAACACCAGTTATGGAAGTGGTAATTTCATCGCGCAAGTCCACAAATTTGCGCGCCCATATTGTGAACAGGTACATGTCTGAGATGATATGCTAACGCCCCGTCTCCTTGATGATATCAAAGAAGTGATGGAAGCAAACAAAGTCTGATAAATCGATCCTGCCGACTGTGAGGACGACAACTCATCCAGAGCTCATCCGTGAGCCTTTCGCACTCTTTACATCTTGCTGCCCCACTACCTATCCCTCATCGCCCCGTTCCGCTCTGCAGCACCAATACATTTGCCAGCACCCACTCTCATCCCTATTCCATCATGCATAACCCCCATGTGCACTCTAATGTCTCTCTTGATCTCTCTCATCTCTTCCCTCCATTCTTTCATTTTTCCTTCGAGTAATTCCACTTGGGCGCTAAAGACTCGGTACAAGATGAAGAAGCATAAAGCATTGAACGCAGCGCATACGAGATTTTCTTTCAAGACGCTCATTGATATGTTTAGATTGGATTATCTCAGATTCCAAGTGAAGTGGGTAGGGCTGCCTGGGGGTGTTGATTCCGAGGATGTTGGCAGGGCTGTGGGACGCTGGAGGGGCTGTCTTTGAACGATAAACCGGTGTTTGTGATGACTGAAGTACTGGGCGCTGTAATTTTACTGATCAATCTTCGCTAGGATTTTGAAATTTTAACTCAACCTCTGCCGTGACCCATCGCAACTTATGTACCCTCTGCTCAAGTGGATTGGGAAACCTGCGGTTACAAATACCCGCAGTTGCCATAATTCCCTCATGCAAACGATAGGTCACAATGCGCAATTCTGTAGAGTTATTTGATCATACCGCAAGACGAGCATCAAGCTTTGTAGAGAAGGGGAATGTTTTGTTTTAACGGTCAAGTTTTCCATTACCTAAGCGATTCCCCAGACGAGTAACTGTGTGAAAAGGGGGAAAATGCCGCAACACAGAAACAACACTGGTGCTGATCAGGCCACCGCACAAAGGCTTATGGTTGCTTAATGAGTATGTGGTTGATGGAGAAGGAAGTAAGAAGACTGACTTTACGTCTGAAAGTTCTAATATGTACTTGAGATGGAAATACTATGCCAAGCAATCGACAATGGAGTCCAATCGAGACGACGCTTATAATCCACGGCTGTGGACCATTCTGGGCTTTTGTCCTCCACAAAATCCACTTCCTAATTCTATTTCGCATATTGTTGTTCCCCCATTGTCTGCCACGCCAAGAGGCAAGTAGGAATCTGTGGCACCAGTTGTATGCCATTGGCGTACATGTCACGTATGCTGATCGGCGTATAATTGTTTCTTCCGTCCTGTCTTTGCCCAAAACGTACAAACGAATCTCGCAGCCACGTTGGGTGTCGCATGGCCTTCTTTTGCAAGGTATGGGGGCTAGTTGGTACAACATTGGGTCTTTTCATGATTGGCGACGGCACAACTACTCCGAGAGATTAAGATACTCCTATCTTTATCACATACGATCCTGAAACATAGCAAGCCCTGTGGACTACTTACATACTATCAGAGTTTGGCCCCAATCAAAGGGGCTCTTCCACCCACGTACGCGCTTCTTATCCAGCGCAAATACGTAAAACATGGCTACTATTACGCGAGGATTATCATTTTAGCCTTGTGGTTACATACGTAATCGCGTGTGAAGACTCGGTATCATCCAGTTTCGCAGTATCCTTACCCGGGCTTACTGCCTATCCAGTGGCTCGCTTCGATGCGGTCATGGCCTGTGCGGCAGCTGGTAGCCCCCAATGTAACCCGCACCCACACCCACATGGAAACGAAACACGCCAGGCAACCGCAACGTGTCTCCGTCTCCGTCGCATGGCTTCTCCATCCTTCCCACTGCGGCCCGTCTCTCGTGCTTCGTGCCGTAACTAAGACTACGTAGGGGGCCCAATCTTTCTCCGCCAAGTCCAACAGCACCACTCCCGGGCTGCTCATTGTCGTAGGATTCCAGATCCTTTGGAGTTTCGGCCGGAGTTTCGGCGCATAGTACGGATGCAATAGACAAGAATGAAGCTGTACACGACTGGGAATGGATAATCGAAGGACTCCTACATACTCGGCGGTAGAAGCTCCCCGCTTCGAGCATTCGCCATCATCCTTGCTAATCCAATGGACTTGAGCGAAAACAGGCAACCATATTTACAGATAATCCAACTCTGGAACGAACAAAATCTTGTATTCCCCCATGTCTTTATTTGCAAGAACGAACTGTCAGTCCCCAGCAACAAGAAACCCCCACTAAGATACGGGTCGCGTGCACTGTTGACCCACCCTTTACCAGCATTTTCCCAAACAAGAGAGCCAAAACACTGGCGAGAACACCACACAGACATGCAATGACTATTCTACCGACTATGTTGGTGGCGTGGACGGGCATGGGGCACTTGGCAATGCAATTGCAAATTACTTTCGTCTCATGTGCCTGCAAATACGCGATGGATTCTCCGGTAGCAGGGTTCTTCAACTGTGCCACAATCGTGCAGAACTTTCATACAACTGTGGCAGGTAAGTGCTGGTACCTAGAGAAAACATGATAAAGGCGAGGGTAAGGCTCCATGAATCTCGCCACATCTTCAGAACGATCATTGTTGCATGATTGACACGTTCCCCTAACTATTACTATATCGTTCGTGTTAAGGAGGGTGAGCACACTTGGATTTCATTCAGTTCCCAGATTTTAACGGTGAGAAGCAGGCTGTAGAACGTCCAGACGTTATGTCTTCCCCTAACATTTCGTCAAAGAACAAAGCGTCGTTGGGAGCAGAGGATGTATCTTTGCGTCCTTTTACGTTCGTTTTTCAATCTGGAACTACATTCCCCGGTGCACGGATCGCAGAGAATTTCATCCGTTCTCGCGAATCTACAAAATCTCCTTTCGGAGCCGACGTTCCAATCCCGTCAGTTGAGCGCGAGAACTCTGTTTTGAGCAGCCGCGGAGTCAGTCCAAGCTCCTCGAATCCAACAAGATGGAACACCCCGCAAAGCCACTCGACAGTGGATACTGTCTGGGAGCAGATGAATACTCTAGAAGGCTTGAGATTGACCTCCGCACATCCTCTAGATAAGTGTTCCCGTTCACGTACGCCGAATTCTTCATTTTGGAATTCATTATCCACGCCAACAAGAGACAATGGTCCGGCAGCTGGTGATGTGGCTGAAAGCTTGGGCGCTCTTCGCCTTCAATCTCAGCAGTCTACCCCCATGCCATCTATCGCACCCTCAATCTATATCCCATCCCCATCTTCCAAAAGGACCTATCAAGTTGAATGCGAAGAGCCACCCAGTAACCCTTTTTATCACACTAAATTCCAAAAAGCACTCTCAGGAGCCATGTCATGCATCACCGATATGAACAAGGTCTTGTCTAGTACCAGTCTACATCAGGAAGCTGGGTCAACTGTCCACAGCCTTCAGCAACAGGCTGTGGATCTGGGGCGTCAGGAGCTTCCCTCGTTGCGTATTGTTGGTATGATTGGTGATTCTGCGGTAGGAAAGAGCAGCCTCATCAACTCACTACTCGATAAGCCGAACCTAGCAAAATCGGTAAGTAAGATCATATCAACTTTCGAAACAAAATTGCTAACATGGAATTGCGCAGAGTGGCAATGGTGCTGCTTGTACCTATACGGTCACAGAATACTTGTATCACGACAGTGATAAGTTTACCATTCAAGTCCAGTACTTTGACCGAGATGAGCTCGAGCATCAATTCAAAGACCTCCTGAGCGCGTACCGAAACATAAAGGACCCTCATGATAATCTGGAACCAGGGCAGCAGAACGAACAAGACCTGCAAGAGAACAAGGAAGCTTTGTTACACAAGGCCAATCTCGCGAGGCAAACTTTTGAAGCAGTTTTCACTCGGCATCTCAAAGAAGATCCCGAAGCCCTCTCACGCGAAGAATTCAATACCACTATCGAGAAGATGATGCTTTGGGTCCGGGAACTGCTTCCAGAATCCGAAGACGAGGAAACCTTTGCTACCGTTCAAGAGTGCGCTGATCGGCTGGTCATTCTGACTTCGGGGGCCGGTAATTCATTCTCGAGTTCACAAACTGGCATGCGCTGGCCCTTGATCAAAAGTATGAAAGTATACTTGAGAGCAGTCATACTGAGCAAAGGACTCGTCTTAGCGGATGTGCCTGGGCTTCGCGACAGCAACCTTGTGCGTGCACGGATTACGGAGCAATACATTCGTCAATGCGATCAGATCTTTGCCGTTCTACCTATCGAACGGGCTATTGACGACAAAAGTCTCGACAACATATTCAAATTAGCACAAGATGCAAACCTCTGCAAAGTCGACATAGTATGCACCAAGTCCGAACAAGTGAATCCTACAGAGGCTGCTCCTGAACGGCCAGAACACAAGGAAGCGATTGAAGTGCTTCGAAAAGAGATGGAAAGCATACGTGTACGCGTAAATGAGGTGGCAGAAGCAATCCGCGAAAGGAAGACACTCAATGTCAGACATGAGGATCTCAGGAAAGATGAAGGATACCGAGAGTTGGTGATGGAACATCACGAGTTGAAGGAAAGCATGACGTCAAAAGAGCACGAGCTCTTCCGCCTGCTCGTTGAAATCCGCAATACTGCAGTCATTGCTAAACTCTCCGCCAAACACCGGAAACCGGAAAGCGAAAAATTTCCCGAAGTATTCTGTGTGAGCAACTATTTGTACAAGGACAATCGTTCCGAAACTGGTCCAGTGGATCTTGCTGCCATCCGCCTTAGCGGCATTCCGCATCTTCGACGATATTGCATCGGAATTATTGCGGAGAGCCATTACCGAATATCTAGGCAACTAATCGATCATGAACTCCCAGCATTCCTTGGTTCGGTTGAACTATGGGTAAACTCTGGAGGCGGTAATGTCACGTTGGAACAACAGGGAATTCGCGAGATTCTACCTAAGATTGGTGAATGCTTGCTCAAGGTACGGAACTACTTGACTGTTACATGCTGATATCCGCATGTCGCATCCAATGCAAACAATCTCCTCGCTTAGCTGTTTGAGGCAAGACCAAAAGGTCACGCTGACTTTCTCCCGTAGTTTGAAGACGAAGAGATTTTGGTTAATGCCATATCGCATGTCATGCTAGGGAAGTTTAAAGAGACGATAGCGGATCGTATGAGTATGTTCCCACTCGATCTATTCCATTTTTGCTCTCTTCATTAACTTTTCTCAAGCTTCCTCGGCTACAAAGTGGTCTAAATATGCCGAAGAGGCTAACAAACCATGGAATATAGTATGTATTTAACCTTTTGGTATAGATGATACTTGACGGAATATCTGCTGACTAAGTACTAGTGGAGTCCTGCTTCTTACTCTGCATTCTGTCGCAATCATGGAAACCATTCTACATCAGCAGTTGGCTACCATAATTGGAACAAAGAAGCGATGGCATGTTTGAAAGAAGACATGGAAGTTGTTTGGAAATTTTTTGTTATGGATCTGGAAGAGGCGTTGTTGAAGCTAACTGCCAACATAAAAAAACTGCTTGACCATATGCACTTCTTGGCAGAGCCTAGACGAGGAAACGGAGCGTTTTTGGTGCGAAGCCGCAATTCAGTAATGTGGGGGCTCTGCAATTCCCTGAGGCATCGCAGGGATATTGTACTTGATGGTATAGAGGAGAGCCGGGAAGATTTCTTGTCAGAGATGGCCACACTCAAAGTGAATACTCTTGGATCTTTACAAACAGCGTTCGTAGGAGAGTGCATGAAGAAGACGTATGATGAAGCCAACAGTATACACGGTAAGTAATTTTTCTATCAGCATAATCTTTTGTGGTACAGTGCTGATGTAGATCTAGGCCCGGGGTGCACAAAAAAGAAAAGAGCATTGATCACTGGACGATTCGGCTCCGAGCGGTTGTTCGTGGACATGCGGAAAGCATGCAGGGCTGATTTTGCACGTCTCGCAGAAAAACTACAGGATGACATGTGGAGTGTGCTGCAAGACCAGATTGCTTACATTGAAAGAGATCTGAACGGGTTACGAGAGAGCCTTGCAGAGATGGACAGTGAACGTGATCCAGGTTTCAGGGACAAAGTACAAAGAGCAATGGTGGATACTGAGGAGAAGATTGCCGAGGCTCAGCAGCTTATTCGTGAGGCAGAAGAGGAGATGAAGGCGCGAGCACCTTGATTTCTTTTTGTATATTATCTTTTTTTTGCAATTACAAATGTCCATCCGTTTCTTGCATCAACTGTCGCTTAGCTATGTACTCACTTTTTCATAGCATATCACTTGACAGCTCAAACATGGAATTGATATTAAAGAAGAGATATCAAGACTTGTAAAGTTTGGTTTGTCTTGGGATTGTATTTGCTAACGGGAACGTCTTTGTTGCAGCAGGTTGACTGTGAGTAAGAGGATGAATGTGTTAGCTTTTACTTTGCCGCTGACATTGTTGTTGTTCTTTTTTTGGGGGAGTGGGAGGGGAAAAGAAGATTTACGGGGCCACCGCTGTACACGCAGCAGCTAGAAGAGCCTTCGCCACCATAGATGCCGCCCCAAATCGAGCAGCTGCCGAGAAGGACAGCTAGAGCTGCTGCTTGGGCTACAGGAGATTCGGCTACAGGGGCAGCAAGGATGCTAGCGGTGCCGCCGAGGGCAAGAACGATAGTAGAGGCGTACATTTTGGATATTGCGGTTTAGTTTCCCAAATTTTTGGAAACTAGATTCTTTCGAAATCAATATTCAATCTCCATTAAAGTACTGCACACTACCGGCGTTAGTATAAGTAAGCTTGTAGGGATGTCCTCGTAGGGAATCAAAGCAAACCTACATAGACCAATCTATGAAGTTGGATTTCGTAGAATTTTTAAGGAACACAGCATGATTACTCTCCCATGTTTAGGAATCTAGTTGTATTGATTTTGCTCCCTAATAGTGTATCTGAAATCGTAATCGTAATGGCTTCGCTTGCAGGATTGATGGAGTTGTTAGCGACGGGCATGCAGTTGGAAACGAGCTAGAAGAATTGCAGAAACAAACGAGCTGTAACAGGTATACGGCTATAAGTATTGGGAGCGTTGGTAGTTGACTCTAAGGATAATTCTGCGGGAAAGTGTAAGAAAATTACCAGAAGAGGTCACATCGCCCGTTACTAACGTGTCTGTCCCCTGTGCCCGAAGCTTCCGATCGGACTAATTGATTGCTAAACTATAACTATCCAAATTCGTAAGCTAGGGGGCCCGATTAAGCCCTCACTTAACCAATAAGGGACTGCACTAAGCCAGAACATGCTGCGCTAAGCTATCAGCCAAAAAATAGATTTACAGCCTCTTGCAGATGTCCTCGATAATCTCATCCGTCTTCGCCTTGCCGCCCATGTCTGGGCTCAAAAGCTCACCCTGCTCAAGATTTGCATCAACAGCAGAGTAAATCTTGGCGGCGGCCTCTTCCTCACCGATGAACTCGAGCATGAGGGCAGTAGATCGGATGGTGGCAATGGGGTTGGCAATGCCCTGGCCCTCAATGTCGGGGGCAGAGCCATGACAGGGCTCACCAATGACGAAGTCTTTACCGACGTTGGCAGAGGGAACGAGGCCGAGGGAGCCGACCAAGGCGGCAGCACCGTCGGACAAAATATCACCATAGAGGTTGGGGGCGACAATGACGTCGTAGTCCTGAGGTTGGCGGAATAGCTTGTAGACCATGGAGTCGACAATCTGCTCCTCAACGCCAACCATTTGGTATTTTGCGTCTTGCAGAGCGCGGCGCGAGGTCTCGCGGAAAAGGCCGTCTGTTTGAGACAGGACGTTGGACTTGTGGGTGATTGTGACGAGTGGGCGAGAGTGGATGGAGTTGCCGCCAGCATCACGGACGCGCTGCCGTCGCAGGGCAATGTCGCCGGCCATAGCAGCAATATTGAACGAGGCCGTCTCGGAGATGCGCTTGATAGCCTCGGCAATTTTGGAGCCGTCGGGGGCAGTATACGTCCTCTCCTCCTTGACGTAAAGGTCCTCGGTGTTCTCGCGCACAATGACCAGGTCTACGTCACGCAGACCTCCCCGGACGCTCTTGACAGGGCGCACGTTTGCGTATAGCTTCATCTTCTTCCTCAGTGCCACAATAGGGCTGGAGTAGCCCTTGGTCTGGACCGTGGGCGAGCTGACGGCGCCAAAGAGGGCGCCATCGCAGTCGGACTTGAGCGCCTCGACCGTCTTGTCGGGCAGAGCAGCGCCTGTCTTCTGGAATGTCTCCCAGCCCGCCTCGTGGTGCGAGAAGGAAAACTTGAGGCCCAGAGATGAGGGCAGAGCCTCGAGAATGCGACGGCCGGCGGGGATGACTTCGCGGCCAATGCCGTCACCGGGAATGAGGCCTGTTGAGGTTAGTGAGTGAGTGAGCAATTGGTGTTGTTGTAGACGATGTTGTGGGGGAGGAGAAACACCAATTGGCTTTTGCAAACCAGCCTCAAGGTTTCTGGGGTGCTCTATGGGAATTTCCTACCGATCCTCAGCGTGCGTGCGGCCATTATGAAGCTGTGACACAAAAGAAGTCGATGTTATGCGCCTGGGAATTTTTGGGGTTGCAGCCCGCCGAACTTCGGAGCCCCGGGTTTATCCGTGCTCTCCGCGACGTGCGCACTGCTATGTACTACGTATAGTCGAGGATGTAAGAAAATCAACTTTGTATAGAAAATATTGCCTGAAGTGATGACATGTCAAAAGATTACTGATTTCATCACTCTACACTTTTTAGAATTGACAAGCTTGTGCCCTTGACAAGGCTGTTGATTGGACAGCCGGTACAACTAGCGATGCCCGTACCCCGTGGGGGAGGGCCAGTCTCATTACCTGTAGTAGTAACACTAGTAATACCACAAACAAAAGACCGCCCTTAGCATTTCTAGCCCAACTAGCCATAGCTCTGTATATCTATCATACATTCCAATACCATAACACCGCGCTGATGCATACCCTTCAAGACCCTGCGCATCATGCAAGACTACGTCATGTCCTAGTCCAGCTCATTGTCTTTGCTGTCTTTCCCTGCCTCCTTCTCTCCCTCTTTACTATGGGCCTCTGCAAACTTCTCCTCCGCGTCCTCGACACCCTCCTTCTTAGCCTGCTCGGTGGGCAGCAGCTCAATGACCACGACAAAGAGCTCATGGTTGGTCTCGCGGTTCTTGAGCACATACCTAAGTGTATGCGAACTGATTAGTGAATGGTCGCGTCAGCTCCTCATTCCGGTCCAAAGAAAACATTAATGTGTGGCCACATCCCAGAAAAACTAACCCAAACGACTGTAAGAAAGGATACTCACCGCAACGGTTGTCCATCCCAATGCCTGATCATGGAAATGTTTGGCAGTCCATAACCGATCTTGAGCGAAAACTCATTGAAGTCCAGATACGGGTTGAAAAAGTCGCATTGGTACTCTCTGCCTGCCTCAAAGGTAAAGTCCTTGCGATTTTGCTCGGTAAGGAAAAACTTCTGCCGGGCACCCGCCTTATCAGGTATACCCTTTTCCTTCCTGACCGTAGCGCCGTCGCCATCCGCGCCCTCTTCGTATACAACGACCTCGTCCTCGGAGCCGCTCTTTTCTACATCGCCCTCGGTCTGCACCTCTCCTTCCGGATCCTTGTCTCCAGATTGTTTGTCCTTCTTACTGCCGATGCGAAAGACGTTGATGGATGAAAGCAGCGCCCCGTACAGATACGGTTCATCCGCGTATACATCGCCATCCAGCCCGGGGTCAATCCACCACTTTACTATGCCAAACGCCTTGTCAAACAGCGGCGGTAGACGGTCGCGAATCGGATGATCAAAGTCGTTTCCAAACACAAGCTTATCGCCTGCAATGTCCTGCTTCGGGGTAAAGGAAAACGATATCGAGTAGCGGTCGTATGGGTGTTGGGGCGTGGAAAAGTATGGTGACGTCGATGGCGAGCCTTCTGGTAGTCCTTTGGAGTTTGAGGTTAGTCACTGATGGGCGGGGCATGAGGGGCAAATGTACCGCGATAGTCCTTGATGCGCATATGCACTTTCGCGTCAATAAGGTCCGATGATATGCTCACTGGCTTCTCGCGATTCACAGGCACAGGCTCATGCTTGGACACATCGTACGTCGGCCCTGCGGTTACGCGCAGCATGTACTGCTCGTGGCTCGTCATGTCTTCCGATATATTTGTGAATGTGCGGATACTTTTTGGATTTTCTGATTCAGGTGCCAAATACGGATGACCTGGTGATTGGTCGACAACTACAAAGAGGGCGAGTTTGGCTGAGAAGGAAAGCTGCGATTGTGAAACGCTGCCCGCGCTTTCGCCGCCGCCGCCCAAATTTTGGTGATGGATGATGACGTTCCGAGGGCGCATGGTCAGTGATCGACGCGCTAGTCCCAATACGGCATGGGGTTGTCTGTCTCGCAGATCATCACAGCCTCCACTATCCACTGCACCTAGAACCCATTAACACCAGACACAATCGGGACACTGTATCTGTTCGAAGCATGAGAATTTCAAACAAACGCTAATATAGAGACTCGCTCAAACCTACACTCCATAGCCATCCGTATCCTTACTGTTAAACCTGTATGAATGAATCAATGTCTACTCGCTCATAAAACGACACGTGACCAAATGTCTCCCAGTATTGCGCGATCCGGTCATGAGATATTAGAATGAGCTGTGATGCCATGTAGTTATCTGACCCCTAGGTTAGCAATTGGCACAGCCATGTCGCATTTACAACAACATACCATCTCGAAATCCCGTCGCTGCAATGTGTCCTACGCTCCGCACTATTCGCGCACCTCGAAAGATTTCCTCGCTAGCCACCCTTAACAACCCGTTCGGGCCGATATCAGGTGCAATGAACGTATACTCTCCTCTTGGTATGTTTGGATCACCCGTTAACTTGACCGCTTCAATCCGGCCACTGTAGACTGCATCGCCGTCCTGTAGTGCGTCGCCTTGGCCGCGACTCTCAGATGCCCGTTCGTTATATGACTGTTGAAGAGTTGCGACACTATCTTCCAGATCATCGGCGTTTTCCATCTGAGCATCTTCGTCGTCGGAATGCGCTGCGTCAGTAGGTGCAGTAGTCCATGAACCCTCGCTGCTTACACTCTCCTCGCGCTCCGCTGCTCGCAGAGCCCACTCGGCTCGTTCTGGAAGAGGTCTTGGATTATCAGGCTGCATGACAACCAGGAACTCACAACCATGCCCAGCATAATCGCCGCACCAGATGCCCTGCCATGGCTTTTGTCGAGTCGGAGTGTAGCATTCCTGGGGTAGCGTCGCCCACGTTGAAATGTTTTCGCCAATTCGCATGTTGAATCTTATTGACTGAGTCGCAAACTGCATCCACTTGCGCAACCTAAATGTCGAAGTAGACAGCTGGTTAAGTAAGCCAGGCTTGTGTCCAGATTGCGTGAACCCAGAAGGCGACTGGTCGTTGCGAGTGCGATGAACACTGGGCACTGTGAGTGGAGGCCATACAGGGGTCGCTTCCGTCGTGATACTCTCAGGCCAAGGTCTGGTTAGCAGCAGATGCGACCGCAGTACCGTGTGTCGAGACAAATTCATTGGTATTTCCTTCTGCAGTCGATGACCTATGCGTCCGATCGCTTCTTCATAGGCGCTGCTGTTGAGTCGCACTACGGGCACGTTCAGATCCAATTGCACTCGAGGACTAAAGGTGTGAATAATGGCATCGGGGTGCTGGTCCCACGACAGAGACTCGGGTACCCGGCGCTCGGCAACAAGTTCATATGCTTCGATTGCGTTGAGTCGATGGTCGTAGCGCGCTACAACGAGCTTTCCAGTGTGCACGTTGTCTGCGAACCACAACTTCTTCCCAGCAATAAACCAGTAGGGGTGGTGCTCCTTGAACAATTCCCGCCAGGTCCGATGCGCTGGCTTGGATACAGCAGGCCGTGAAATCTCCGCTTGAACCAGTCGCTGCCAAAGAATGTCTTGGTTCGTGTGCTCTTGCAATACCCGGCTTACCAAACCTGCGGAAAGGAGGTCTGAAAGACATAGGTGACCCAGAATTTGTTGTAAGAGCTCCGCAGGGAGTCTCAGCAATGGAGGCGTCATTGCCTGTGGGGCTGAGTTTTGATCCCTTGCTATATGTGAGTCCATCAGTCCAGAAAGCGGTGGGTACCGGAAAACAATACCTCGGTGCTGACAGGATGTGAAATTTGTAGTAGTGATTGATGGATTGCAAGTCAGTCCGAGGGTTGGGGATTAACTATGCACAGGCTACTTCAACGTTCCGTACCACAACACATATGGCAGGGCTTCGAGATATTGGTTTTGTTCCGTTTGAGGCAAGATGCGAGCAGGTATCTCCAATTGGTGGTAATGCAACGGTACACCTGGTCCGGGACGGAGCTTGGTACACTCCCTCTTGGCAACGTCCGGGTATCACCTTCCCACCTTTGCCTAGCTGCGCCAGTGCCAAACAAGATTGGCGCTCCCAGTCGACGAATACGATTGCTATGCAAGATCAAGACGTTCTCGCCAATCTGTAAGAATAACAGTTACCTGCTCCTTTGGGCTGCTTACTCTGTGCGGAGCTGGTGACGACCGTGCGATATCGGATATCGGATATCGGATCGTGTGGGACAACGTTGGGGATGTGACTTAGGATCGGATTGCGTGTATTTGGAATAAGAGGGTACAGATGACGGATGCGCCGACGACGGTCGAAATCAGAATAGGCCGGGATGCAGTGCACTGTATACACACAAAGAGATCAAGGCGGATAAAGAGGAGCAGACTAGGTTGTGGAGTGGTGCGTGGGCATAGTGTAGTTACAATCACGACAGCATGACGCGCTGACGCACAGACTCCTATGGCCCGCTGGCTAGCGTCGCCACCAACCATGTGGCTTTTTGTGGGGTGAGGCAAACTGGACTCCCCATGTGCATACAACACCACATAGCTGCTACGAACCCATATATCTCGTTCTTGAAATCCAACTCAATCACCTCAATCATAGGTTATTCCACGTTAGCCGTTCCTGTTGCTCCTGCTGGTTGCAAGAATAAGCATGGCAAAGGTGGTCACGCGAGCAATTCCCCTCTCAGACATCACATATCATACTGATGGATCGTGATAACAAGCAAAAAGCCACAAGGAACATAAACAGTATTGAGGGATTACTGTTGCGTCGTAAAAATACGTGAGATGCCAATGTTGTTGACTCAACTACAACTCCACCGCCCCAATGACAAAATTATACGTTGAAAACAAGAATCGTCTTAGACACCTTTTGTCTTCCTCCCCTACAACAAGTCCTCAAAAAAATCGTTGCTGAAACCATCTCCCAAGATTGGTAGGGTAGGATCGAAAATATCAGTCATCTCAGAAGCGTCGAACATTCCCGTATTGGAGCCTCCGCTCAGCCCCGTCAAATTGAAACCCTCCCCTGAAACTGGCACGGCAGGATTGAAGATATCTGCCAGCTCGGAAGCGTCGAAAAGTCCAGGTTGGGAGCCTCCACTGGGTTGTTCCCAATCGGAACCATTGTTGCTATCTTCGTTTGATGGCTCGCCAAACAACTCAAGGTCCAGATCTTCATCCCTATCATCCTCAGGGCTCTTCTCTTCAAGCCTCGAGATTGGCTCCTCCGCTTCCTGATGCTCAACCTGAATGGGAGCCCGATCTGGCCGTTCACGCCCCTCGCACACCTCCGTGGGTACACCAGGGGAAGCTTGTTCAGCTCCTTGGCTTCCACTCTCTTCCGCGTCTCTGACAACCGCCTGCATCGTCTGTGATATCGCTTCCTCCACCTGCCTCCCTTGCTCTTCCCTCTGCCTCTTTTGCAGTCGCTCAAGCGCAGATCGAGGTTTCGCGCGAGGCTTTTTGGCAGCAGCTTGTCGAGAAGCTGGCGCATGCTGCGCAACCGAATTCACTCCTGCCATGCGCGGATCAGGCTTCCACTCCAGTGGTGGCATGCAAGCCTTGACGCGAGTCGAGTCTCGATCCCGCATCTCCTTGCTGAACCAATTCTCCCACGTCTTGTAATTCTGGTCCAAATTTCCATGTAGGAAAGCCTGTTCTTCAATCTTCGAACAAACCCTTTCGTACTTGCGCTTGACAGCGCCCTCGAGCTGGCGGAGAGTAAAGCCGTTGCGGCAACACTCGTGTTTCTTGCAGGTGCAATCCTTGCTGCCTCCGCATCCTGAGTCGACGTGAAGACACATGTACTTGTCTGGTGTCTTCAGCGGGTATGATGCTAAGTCGCGGGATGGAAGCCGGAAGCGGACGTCTAGATCTGCAAATGCCTGTCGATCTTCCTCGGGCGATGATTGTCGGCGTTTCTTTTTTAGCTGAGGGATTTGCTTCGCAGCCTCAAAGACATCGAACGCAGCTAGCTTCTGCCACTCGGGATCTGTTGGTTTCCGCGAGCAATCGCCATCAAGGTAGGTACGGTCAATCATCTCCTTCTGGTCGAGATATCGTTGGTGTTCCAACTCAGCTTTCAATTCCCTTTCCAGTCGCACTGACTCGTCCAATTCTGGTGTGACTCGTTTGGCGGGTCGGCAGTCTTCACCAACTTCTGGCTCTGGTGCACGGCGCTTCTGCTCGCGCGATGGTCTTGGAGAGCTGTCTTGCTCATCGTCAATGACGATTGCAGTGTTGTTATCTGCACCAAGCTGCTTTCCTAGCGAGGCAACCTGTGTCGAAGAAGAGGCGCTGCTTGCCTGAGAAACGGCACTAATGTCAACCGCCTGCATCTGTTCGACCACAATGTCTTTGAATCGCTTAGTCCGCTGCTCAAGAGTCCCCTTCCGCTTATCGGCAAATTGAGCATACCACTGTGCCTCCTGTTGGGCAATATTCTTGCTCTTTTCTTTGATCTTATCAAAAGCACTAGTGTATTCTGGAGAGCTAGGGTCGTGGCTTTGCATGATGCGACCAAATATCCCGAAAGAGACGTAGAGCTCGTGTCGCTCCGCAGGGGACAAACATCGAGCATTCCACAAATCATTCGGTGTGTATAGGCCCTTGACCTTTTGTGAAAGCAAGTACACCTGGCTGGGACTAATCCCAGGGATGATCGATGGAGGGTGCTCATTCATCAAGTCTTGCGCGGAATCCTCCAACCAATCCGAAGGACCATCCAACGAAGCTTGTGTGGTGAACGGGCAAGGTGGATGGTAAGGCTGGCATGGCGTGGGTTGTATCGCCCTTCCCGAGGAAGCCGTGTATTCTTTTTGCTGTTGAATAAAGGACGACATCTTGCTCGGGTTTTAAACGAAGGGAAGCGACTTGAGTGTAGTTGAGTTGAAATCGTGATTTTGCCTTCAGTACGGCTGAAGCGAAGCGACGACTGTAGCTTGAGCGGAAATATGGCCGTGTTGAATCTAATGAGGGTATCTCTTCTGAGGTTCTGGTGATGATGGTATTCGCTCTGGGCGTTGATGGACAAAAGTTGTGGTTGTGATGGAGTTGTTTTGGTCTGGTGTTGAGGAGTAAGTAACGAGTTTCTCGTTTTATACTTACTTTCACTCCCTGGAAGACCGTGCAACACTCTTTCACTGCCTATTATATTCCAACCGTTCACTGGATAGGCTATGAAAATTGCTCATAGCGATAGATGTGAGAGTGATCGGATTTGCAAATGCCTTCATCTTCACTGGTTCAGAATAGGTGTCATTGCGCACGCGAACTACGGTTGAGACTGGAAATTCACACAAACGCCTATTCTCATCCTGTCGCTTCAGTGCCATGTTGCTGTCACGAGTAGAATCTCGTCGAACCATAATAGCGGAAGCGTGGGCAGAGTGCGCGAATTATGATCAACCAGGAACACTGTGTCATCGCTCACATTACAAAGAGATTGACGAAACACATTAGATGCATTTTCATTGAAATCATCTGCCTCTTTCATACAACATCTTGCTCATGACTCCTCATCTGCGCCTCCAAATTCTCCCACCTTGCTGCCTTGTGCCTCGAAACTGGCAGTTCTGCTAATTCGAGTATGAAGCGTCTTGTTAAATCTTGCATTCACCCCATCTACCAGAGAAAATATTGCTGCTCTTTTGAATGAACAATAGCTGCGCAGAGTGTGAATCGCTGTAATTGATGTCATGCCTTTATGCACATCTGAATTGGACGTGTCACGTGATAAGCATTGAGCTCTTAGTAGTGCAGAGGGTTAGTTAGTAAAAGGTCCTTTCCTATAAGCTAACGTGACAATATCAAGTGACGTTCCAAAAAGGACTTGCCATGCGTCGAGATCCATCCAGGCCGGTCCGTGACCATAACATTGGTGACCATCGGTGTGCATACTTACCCCAACCTTGAAGTAGCCTAGCGCTGATAAGGAGGGGGCAAGTGGGTGCATGATTCAAGGACTACTCCACTATTGCCCTCCAACTATTCCCAATAGTAACAGCACATCGTGTTTGGACCCTCTGTGAGCGTGCTATGTTCTGGTCGGATAGTGATACTGACTAGTCCGTCCTACGTATATCTTAGGTTTTGCTGTTGTCTGGTTAAGCTGACAACACTAGCTCCGACTCCCGGTGTACCCACTGTGACCGGGAGCTTCCAAACCAATACGTGCTGCGACAACATCGCCGTGACGCCTCCAACCATCATCCATGTGAGTCATGCGACTTTGTTGGAGCAACTCGCGCAGAGTTGTTCACACATCACGACCAGACAAGACACGCTGCGATTTGCCGCGGCTGCAACGATGGGAGGGGACGCATCTGAGGCTCGGAATCGCAAGAGTATCTCTATCACCTGGCAGACAAGAATGTTTGTGGGCTTTGTGAGACACATTCTGAAACTCTGAGCAACCTTGAACATGTGAGCTGAACTGAATTTTGGCTAGATGAACATTGACAGGGCGCACAGCATGAAATGACACATATAGAGCGGATAATTGAAAGTTATGGCTGCTACCGGAAGTTCCCCACATATCCTGCTATGATAATCCACATCGAGGCCGCTACGTGCGTTTCTGGAATTGACATACGCGATTTAAACCAGTCGGCTGCTATGTGTCTTCAGTGGAAGGCGTACTTTGATCAAGATTATCACCAAGAACTACTCGAGCGTGTTGATCTAGAAGCAATGTATAGACGTGTGTACCCGTTTCGATTTCCAGGCTGCAAGTTGAGCTTCACAAAGCTATCAGGTCTTTTTCAGCACGTGTACAGTAATGCATGTCGCCAGGATGTGCATGAGGGTGAGATGGGCACGTTGATCAAATGGCTAGAGAATCGCCATGATATATGACTTGAGATAAGGAGGATGTGGAAACAACGCGCAGCAAGTTCTTGTGTCACTGCATGTATATTTCGGTGTGCTTCAGCAAGTGTTTGAATCTTCACTACTTGAGCACTTGAACAGATTCTGACGATATGGAGACATTAGACTTCTTACACATGTAAACTAAGCAACAAATTGCTCATTTTTGCTATCATGAAAGTATGAATTTTTCTAACTTTTGATGCATCCTAACCTATCATTGTCTATTACACTACTTCCTGACCTCAAGGGTTAAAACCATCCACCCCTAAATTAATCTCCTACTCATACTCGTCGTCTATGTGCTTCTACCAATCTCTATCGTCATCGTTACAAGATATGCCGCAATCATATCACAGCCCAGCGCTTCAAAGCGACTAATCTTCCGATCCTTCTTTTCCTTATCATAATTAACCTTGGCCTTGAAGAACTGGCGATGCACCTGGCCAAGCTGAGCAAACATTACCTTCTCGCCTGGTTGGCACTGCATCACCGTCCAAGACTGGTTCATCAAGCGCACCAGCTCTCCCCATGCGACTACTCGAAGAAAGGCTTCCTGAGACATGGAGAAGAGCGTGCGAAACGATCGATTCCATCCCATGAATAGCTTAACTGCAGGTTGGATCACATTTGCATTCCAGTTAGGCGCAGCGACATCGGTGTTCCAGCGACTGAACACTTCTTCTGCATTGATGCCGACGTGATCTTTGATCAGAGCAAGCTGCGTAACCGCCAACTCTTCCTCCGACAAGCATTTGAAAGTATCACTGCGATGGGGGAACTCGATCACAGTCTCCTCTTTCAATGGCGTGCATTGCGTACCAAAGATGGCCCTTATATCCTGCCCAATGCGCTCCGCTAGCGTCAGATTGGATTGAAAAACACACCTTAAAGTCTGAGACGGCTCTTCAAAATGCTGAAAAGATCCAGAGATTCCGGAAGTCGAGTCAGTGGGACATCGAAGTTGTCCGTCTTGATCAAGGGCCATAGAAGAGCCCAGATGCGAAACCTGTTCTAGGAGTGAGTCAATCAATCCAGAGTTGTAAGTACGACTAGACATCCAAACCGGTACTTTCTCACCTTTATCATTGGAGTCGCTTGTCTTTGCCTCCATCTCGGGAATAGTGCCCCAGTCGCGACCCTCGAGGGCATTCAGCGTCGGTGTGTGTCGTTGGCGCGGCGCATCTGCTGATAACTCTGCTGCGGGTGTCTCGGCGGAAAGCTCGCTAATATGTCCACTGGATCCCTTATTTTGGTTATCATGACCAGTTGGAATTGCATACCTATCGCCATAGTAGTAGGCCTCTGGTGATAGTTCCGCAACATCTTTCTGGACTGCTTCTTTGTGGCTATTGTCGCTCAAGTAGTTTTCGTAAAAGAATGGCAAATTTTGAGAGCTAGCAGTAGATGGTGGGTTGGACTGCCTATACACTGAGCTGATGTTAGTTTCGTCCTCGTCCGCGATGCGAAAATATAGATCAATGGTAGGGGTATAACTATCCGCGTCATTCTCTTGTTCAGGCGCATCCGGAATACTCATAGTTGGCTTGAGCTTCGAGGAGCTTTGAGAGCTGCTTGTGGATGACTTACTAATTGGTATAGTTCCTATGCCACTATGCATTGAGTGCATGTCAAAAGAACTATCCGCCCGGTCATGATCTAGCTCATAGCTTTTGGAACGGCTATGGATGCCTTCAGCTCTTGCATCTCGTTGTCCTTGATGTTTTTGTGTAGATGAATAGCCGGAATCGGAACCATTCCAAGGAGCGGGTCGGTTTTCCAGTGGAGCAGTTGCTGGTACACGAGGTTCCTCCGATGGAGCGTAAAACGACGAACCCAAGGGCGTGCTTGCTGATGAGGAGTTACCATCAGAATATTTCCATAGAGAGGGGCGGGCATGCCTCCAAACTTGCGGAGGCATCTCTGACTCTTGCTGCATTGCTGCACCATCTTTGCGCGGCTCTACGAAGCGAGGTGTCAGTGGCTCCGCACTGCCGCGCATTCCCATTTCTGGCTTAGGGATCCTCTGAGATGGCTTGCTAGTATGTTCATTTTGAGTTGGACGCTGGTATTGCTGACGAGAATATTTCAACTCGGATTGTGCATTGGGTGCGTAAGGGGGTGGCAAATCTTCATCATGACGCTCCCACTTTTCTTGCGATGCCGTTATTTCATCTCGATGAAGAAGAAAATATTCTGCGCATTGCTCCATTTGTACTGGGTCCTTAAGCATACTGTACTTGTAACAAGTACGTTCGGCACAACGACACACGAACATCCTTGCAGGATCCGCCCAGTGGAAAGAGCGGATGTATATTCCAGCGTTTTCCCACAACTTTTCGCGTTTCAGCTGATAGTCCATATACTCAGCTATAGTACATGTCTTGTAGTTCATGCGGTCCATGTAAAAATTCAAGCTTGCTTCTAGTTCTGGCCATTCTTTGATAAGGCGGAAAGTTTTCTCCCGATGTCGTGCAGGATGGCTGCATCGGCAGACTTTTCGTTTATCCACGCCAACATAGTGAAGCCACCACTCTGGAACAGGCAAACCCGAAAACAGGTGAGGCCAAAGCTCTTCTGTGGTGCGCTGTGTGCGTTTACAACGCGTGAAGAAAAGCTTGTGACTGTGATCTTCGAAACGCATGGTATTTATTGGCTGGGGATAACAAGTGATTGGATACCGTATGGCTTTTAGGTATCTATCGCGTCTTAAGGAGCAAAAATATGTCTCTTCGATAGGTACTCAAATAATTGGGTGTTGGGTGTGAGAAAGAATCGATCGCACGAAACTCTCTTTATGATATGACAGACCTGAGAGTTTGTGTTGTCACATTGTTGATACTGCAGTGGGACAAAGATAGCAGAAACATTACAATGCACATATTTTGAATCATGTATATTTTCTTTCCAAGGGTATTGTAGCATGATGCACAATGTACCTGGAGACCAAGCATCAGTGATCACATTGTCCGCCAGCCACAATGAGATGCTTCGAACCTTTGACAAAGATGACAATGATGATCTGTTAGAGCCAACATCCGTTCGATTGGCCTTGCTCTCTGTACAAACTAGCGTCTACAATACGCACAAAAATAAATAAAAAAACTGTTTACATCCGCGTCATGTGCCCTAGCCCAATGTTGTGGCTACGGTACCATCGACTGCAGCGGCCTTCGCAAGACGATCAGCTAGTTGGTTATGCTCCCTCGGAACATGCCAGAATCTAACCTAGATCAGCTTTAGTGCCGAATACACTCATTATGTCCTTATAGGTGACAACTGACCTTGATGTTCTTTGCCTCGAGTCTTTTGATCAAGATATCGAGTTTGCGGAATAGATCAAGATTTGTAGGCCTCTTGCGTTTAGTCGTGCGCCAGTTTTGTCGCTACTCGATCAGACACGGGATTCTCTTTAGCGACTCCGTGTAAATTGCCGAAACATACTTACCTTCCACATTCGTAGCCATTTGGTTATTCCTTTAACGACATAAGCGGAGTCGCTCGCCACAATCCGTGACCTTTGTTCCTTCTTGTTTTTTGTAGTAAAGGTACTTGAAAGTGCCTTTAGGCCAACTATTGCCGCGAGAAGTTTCACTCGTTGGTTTGATCGGACCGCAAAGTCGTCCACCATGTCGGTAATGGCTATGGACAATTGGCCTGTAGTATTACTACTATATGCTATACCGATCCCGGATTTGGCTGTCGGCTTTCCGTTGTTTCTACACGCGCTATTCGTGAATAAGATGCGGGAGTGATGACAGGGCATCGGTTTTGGATCGTTTCGAAGGTCATGGAGAGATTGATTGTTGCATGCACAGAAATACAATACAAAACCTCCACACCTGGGGCACACTCGGACAAGGTCTTGTACAGGCCAGCTGGTAGTTTCTGGACATAAGTACAACATTCCATTGCGAACTCTTTCGCCTTGTTCCATCGTTGAGGATGGTCAAAGGGAAAACAAGCGTTGGATTGGGAGTTGCGACAGAAATACGTCGAAGAGAGAATGTCTACACAGAACAGTACTGATTGCCGCAAACGTTCCTGCATCCGGTCCCAGCCGGTAATCTAAAACAACGACCCATACTATCATCAGCCATCTTCCGGTTCTACATATCACTTCTGGTGAAGCTAGACACCGGTGGATGCCGTTGTTCGAAACATTTCGGTGTCCGTGCATGACGGCTGACATATGACGGTTGTTATCGTGATGCATCGTTGGAGATGAACAAGCAGGTATGACGCAAAATTATCGTGTTTAGCGCAAGAATTGCTACTGTTTGATACTAAAATCCTGCTGACTATTGATTATCCCGTGATTAGGCTGACTGTTCTCAGGTTCGTTTGGTCAAACAACAATCAATACGGCGATAACAAACGGGATGACAACAGTACGACAATCTCAACAAAAAAACACAGTTTGAGTGGAGTGGAAAGTACTATCTCTGGACTCAGCGGAGATAGATAGCGGCTTCATGGACACAACAGAATATCAGTAGTCATTCGCACAGATTTAACACATCTTTCATCACCATACTCGCATCCTCGAATCAACAAGATGTCTTCTATAAATACTCTCCGTCCCTATTTCCAACATACAGATTGTATATAACCACCACACGTAGCCATCTATCCCAAACGATTGCCATGATACAATAGATGTATATATCATCCGATACCAAACCTAGAATAATTTTCTCAGCGCCCGGCGATTGTAATGGCCGTGGCGCGGACACGGAGATCTGACTCCTTACAGAGCGCTGTATTCCAGACACGGTACTATATTGTACATTTTGGACCGTCATCTCCCGCTACGAAGAGAAAGGCGTGGTCTGCGCCAGGCTACTATCGCTTGCACCACCGCCCTCTCCGAACTGCCCTCAGCCCTATATATTTGCAACGTATCCGTCGCACTTCTCTAACCCGCGATTTCTTTTGACTTCGTTTCGAAACGCCGACTTGCAACCAGAAAGAATAAATGGGTTGGTTGGAACCAAGTTTGCTCCGTACTCTGCGCGGGAGGAGCTGCGCATGACCTCGAACCGACCAACCGACCACTTGTGTAAGTACTAGTGTTGAACACAGTTATCTCTATTTTGATGCGAGTGGCCTTTCTGCACATTCTTCACGATGTATCATAAGGATTGCGATGCTGTTTATATACTGGTGCTGGCGATATTCGTCAGCGTATCCATCGAAATGGCGCTTTTTGCAGTCGCTACAGTCGTGCAGTAAGGGAGTCAATTGAAATCTCAGCTTCAGTCGTGTCTTGGCAGTCTCCGCGAAGACATCTTTAACTCACCCACCAAACACCACAGCTCCTACCGATGAATCACAACCGCATTCAATTCAGCCAAGACATCTTGATATGAGAAGGCAAGGGTTCCGTTGCCTATCTTCTACCAGCCCCTTTCTCATAAGTCTCATTTTAGCATTGAGGATCAACTCAGCCACCAACTCAGGACTAAAGCCATTGTTGACATACCTCAAAATGCTGAAAATTATTAATATTCGATGTTTTTGTGCAATACACACGGTTTCACAAGAGCTTCTTGCCTTGGGTAATACAATTGGTTCTCAGCTCTATGAATAGCCACAATCTTGTTGCTCCTCTGAAAAAGAATATTGAACCTAAAATGCAACCTCATTATCATACAAAACATTATGCTTCCAATCCCAATGATCATGCCTCAATCATTCAAGCCCAGTGAATAAAAACGCCAACAAACATGCTCGCAAAAACAAAGTCGGACCACTTTCCACTCAGTAACACATCTGCTGACGAAGCTGCGGTATTGTCTCCCGTTTGGCTGGTCAAAGTCTTTGTCGGCTGACCGCATGTTAGGCCACTACAAGAGGATGCTGCAGTGGTGCTCTCAGTAGCCTCGGTTGCTGTAACGGATATTGAGTCCTCGATAACTGCAACAGGGGTCTCTCCAGGCAGAAGTGAAATCTCTATACCATCAATCGTCGTCTCTCCACCTGGCAATAGAGTGTCGCCGTTGGGAAGTAGCAGGCCGCCACCAGATGCGGTTGGTATAAAGGAGAAGCCGGATGGGAGCGCGTTGGGGGATATAGTCGTGCCTCCGACTACTATCTCGGCTGTTTTCGTTGGGAGAGGGATTGTAGTGGTTCCGACGACCAAACCGACATCGTCACGTGAAACAGTTATGCTTCCGATGACGGTTGTTTCGCCAACGTCCAGCTCTGTAGCGAGCTGTCCCACAGGAATGGGTATTCCGTTAACATCAAGTGCAGAAGTACTAGGTATAGATGTCTCCTGGTTTAGCGGGATAGAGCGCGTGCCATCTACTACGAGAAAAGAGCTAGATTCGTCGAGAGAGATGGTATTGGTACCAATGGTGGTTATCTGCCCAGGCTGCAGTCCCGGCACTATATCATCGATATCCATAGTCGTACCGCCAATAACAATAGGTGCTGCGATGGGTGCCGGGGTCATTGGCGGCAGTGCAATTGTTTTGGTACCACCAACCACCACGAACCCGGCAGAGCTGTCAAGGGAAATTGGCACGTCGTTGATAGTCGTTTGTTGGCCTGGATTGAATCTAGTCGTGGTTCCGCTGATTACGATTTCGGACCGTGACGGGTCAATTACGATAGGACCGGCTCCTGGTAATGTGACAATCGGTGGAGGTGTGGCGTCATTAGTAGGCCTGGGCCCTGACGCACCGGTAATGGGTGGTCTCACACCTACTTTAGAAACAGTTGGGTCTCCTGGTTTAACTTCTGGGAGACCTTCCGGGGACTCCTGGGGCTGTGCTGGTGGGTTCGCAGGCTGTACATGCGAAGGTTCAGGCTGCACTGGGCTATCTTTCGTGGTGCCGGGTGGAGTCTTTGAAAGGCTTGGTGGAGTCTTCGAAGGGCTTGGTGGAGTCTTTGAAGGGCTTGGTCGAGAGTCAAAACCTGGACTTGGCCTTCTGCATATCTAATCAGTTTTCCGTATCATACGACTGGAACATCACTTACGCTGTTGGTGTGGGATGTATGATAGGAGTATGCGGAGTAATGTAGTCATAGTTGAAGAGAGTTGAGACCGTGATTGCTGTCGCGGTTATGATCTCAGATGTTGGAGGAATGTATGGAAGTAAAGTAATGGTGGAGGTTGATGTAAATGAACAAGACTCTGTCGTAAAATCTGGTACTGGATATGGTTTTGAATATGTGGGATAGGTTGTGAAGCTATTGGAGACTCTGTACTGACTTGGCTGTGTTAGTATACCTAAAATGTCTTTTTTTTCTGAAACACATACTCTTCGGTTATGAATGCGTTAGTTGTGGATTCATCGGTAGTGGATTCATTGGTGGTGGATTCATCGGTGGGAAAAGCCGTCATCACCTCGTCACTCGTTGTCATGGCCTTATGACCAAGAGTTTCAAAACGGGTAGCTGTAGTACCGTTTGGAAAGGGAGTGACATGCATCAGTACCGTGAGTACTGCTGTTTCCGTGAAAGTCTGTACGATCTGGGAGTACGATGGCATGTAATACTCTGTGGTAGTTTTTGTACATGGTTCTGTAGAGTTTGGGGGTGCCGTTGTGTTGTGTAGGGTGGGTGGCGCCGTTGTCTTGTGTATAGTGTACGAAGTTGTGATATCGTCTACAGTGTGGGTGAATGCCGCACACACAGCTATTCAAAAGATGCTCGTCAGCTTCCAGGTAAGTAGGGAGATTCTATTTATTACCAATGAAGCATGAGTAGACGAGTAGTACGAAAGCGCTCGCCATTGTCACCGTCAGGCTATAAGTCAGGCACTGCAGCCACCAAGAGTTGGAGTGGTAAAGAGGAGGGGCGCCCGACAAGACGGAAACGAAAAGTAAGGCAGAAGGATCAGAAGATCAATCTGAGTGCTCGATTACTCGCAGCGAATCCCATGTCCGCTTTGTGCGTTGTCTCTCAGCCTCGAAGTTAGCCCCCAAAGCTGTACTCTTGGCGCAGGCTCGGCGATGGTCATGATTGGTTGGATGCACATGCATTGCCTCAATGAGGCAGGGTGCAATAGGATTTGATTGCAAGCGTGGGTTAGGCGTCCGACCTGCATACTCTCTAACGGCAGGGATGTTTCCGTTAATATCCACTCAAGATGTCCACCCGATGCAGGGCTTTGGGGGTGGCGTGGCTACTGTTGTCTAGACTCAACCCGCTGTCCTGACATCTCACCTCATCAACCTTTGTGGACCTTTACAGCTTCTATACTACTTGCATACTTTCGAAGACACTCGACCTCTGCGAGCGTGAGTGTTTCGCGAGGTGGGTAGCAGCCAGATGGCGAAACCACTCTCCCTTGCGGGATCTGGGCGCTGGTATGGGAACGATGGGAGCTGGACAGGGTACTTACTACGTTCCACCAGGCTGTGAAAGGCACTCGCATACTCAGTGCGCTAACAACGACAGCTTCTCAGTCCAAGTGGGAACTCCACCACAAACGTTCGAAGTATTCCCATCTTTCCAGTCGCAGAATGTGTGGCTACCAATCGATGAAGAGTGTTTGAGAATCCAAGCCGATGCGGGAGCGTGTGGTAGCTCTCGCGGTGCAGCACCTTTTCAACAAAGTCCAAGTCCCGGCTTCCAGCCAAACATGTCTTCGTCCTGGCAGGCCATCAATCTCTTCGAACTGGGGCTTGAGAAAGTCCGTGGTATCACGGGCAATGGGTTTGTTGGGTTTGATAATGTCCAAGTAGGGAACATATCGCTTGACAAATTTCCCGTCACTGCATACGCCTCGCCCGGCTTCTGGGTAGGGCAACTCGGCCTTTTGCCATTGTCGATAAACTACTCGACAACCGTCAATTCACCATCATTTTTAGTCGCTCTAAGAGATGGGGGGCATATACCGAGCGTGGCGTACGGTTACCAAGCAGGCTCTCCGTATCGGGGTACCAAGGTGCCAGCAAGTCTGGTGCTTGGAGGTTATGACGGCTCGCGTGCGTCAAAACCACTTACTGTTAAAATCAACACCGATATGAGCAGAGCGTTGACAGTTTCTATACACGACATTGTAGCAACTGGCACTTTAAACGGCACACTGTCTCTGGTCAACAGCGAGCGAATTCTCGCACCCCTCGACTCATCGATCCCTGAATTATGGCTTCCCAAGTCAGTGTGCGATCGCTTTGAGTCTGTATTTGGGTTGGAATATCATGAAGCATCTGGGCGTTATCTTCTGACAGACGCTAAGAGAGATCAACTCCGGTCAATGAACCCTATTGTGACAATGACGATCGGCTCAGACCCATCCATATCCGGCAACAGTACCATTATTCAACTTCCATATGCTGCTTTCGACTTGCAAGCTGGTTTTCCAATCTTTGTAAACGAGACCAATTATTTTCCGATCCGCAGGGCTGACAATGAAAGCCAATACGCAATCGGTAGAGTTTTTCTCCAAGAAGCATACATTGGCGTGGACTTTGAATCAGGAACTTTCAACGTCAGTGCGGCAAGATGGGACGAGCTGGACCCAGAAATCATTACCATATTATCAGAAGAAAGCAAAGCAACTGCCGAGAAGACAGGTGATTTGCCAAGTGGCGCAATAGCTGGGATAGTTGTCGGATGTGTAGTTGGAATAGCTCTGGTCATTGCATGTGCATGGTTGATGGTGCGAAAACGAAAGCGAAAGAACATCATACAACATGACGCTGTTGAAACAGGGGCGAACGAGAAGATAAGATACGAGATGCAACCCCCTTCAGAACTGGAATCGAACACTCTAAAAATTTCCGAACTTCCGGGGAAGCAAGGAGATAGTGAGTTGTACGAAAGCAGGGCGGTGCCTGAGCTGGGCAGTCGAGATTGCATTTACGAGATGTCGGCAGGGCCTGTTCCCGGACTGCCGGCCAAGTATGATGAGGGCGCAGACCAAAATGAAGCCGATGAGAGGAAACAAGAGAGGAGGGATCAATAGCGCAGTTGGAAGGGAAAAGAGAAGAGACGGCCAAAACAGGCTAGTGCATTCTACACTCGAGCATGTTCGGAAGCGTTACGAGACGCATTACGAACCACATTAATCATTGTAACATATATACCCCGCAAAAATGCATTTCAAAACAGTAAACTAGCAGACTTGACAGCAAAAACCACATCCTCCATTGGATATGCATCAACTCAGTCAGTGTCATATGTACTTCCATGATGCAGAATTTTTAAAGTACTGCAAGACTGAATGGCTCCTTCTTTCCCAAACAGTCGCATCCCAGTCCAGGTAAGCACAAGAGGAAAAAGCAGTCAGTCGCTTACTCATCAGCGCGCTCAACTCACCTTGGCCTCAGCCTTGTCTCCCCACTCTTGTCTTTCCCTCATCCTCACAATCCAAACTGGCAGACCGTGGAGATTCAATTGCAGTACACCCCAAACTACTAAAATGACAGAGCCAATAGGTAGTGACACATTGTGGGATCATTGCTTGGTTCTGTCACCATTGAAGGGATCACAGAATCGATTTAGAAGGACTGGCACTTATACAGGAATCTTGGATGTTGCCCAAACCACAAATGACGCAGCAGATACAACGCTGGACTCGATGCGCGCTCACATATTCGCAGGCCCGCTGGACAAGCAAGAGATTGAGGTTTTTTGAGCGAAGGAAGAAATCGGCTGAGATGGAGGGTCGCTGCCCGGCAAAGCGCCAGCGAAGTTATCGAGAAACCCTTTGTTCAAGCCATCTCCAGCTCGATGAGGCAGTCAAGACTCTGTGGGTGTCGCCAAATGCCTGTCATCTTCAAGCCCGCACCCTCGTACATTTTGCGATGTTCCTCCTCGGTCCGGTGGCGCGCTCCAAGAACGGCCATAAGCTCCCAGTCAAGAGACGCTACTTTTGGTCAGAATAGGGACAGCATGGGACGAGTACCTGAACGACTTACTCTGCGCCCAATGCGCATTCTGGCTCGGGACAACATAGTCATTGACAAGAACCTTGGAGTATCCCTTCTTCATTGCGGGGACAATAGCTTTCAAGATATCCGTGTTGACCTGGTCATTCCAGTCTTGGATAATGGAATGCAGATAATATGCACGGGCCCCTTTGATCGGCTGCTCAGTCATGAAATCGTGAGCCATCTTGTCGACACCTGGACCGAGCTTCGCAAGCTGGACGATCTCGGGACGATCTTGCAGAAGCAGCGGGCCAGGTAGCTTTCCCTCAAAGGCTACGCGTAAACCTTCAATGTCGTGGCCGGAGCCGCCGCCAACATCGACTAAGAATGGCTCGTCTTTGTCAGCTCCGTGGATCAGGCGCTCTTGGACAGGGTAGTAGTCTTTTTCAAACCACCGGGGTCGACCCTTACTCCACGAATCCATCATGCTAGCAAAGCGGCGTCCCATTTCGGGGTGTTGCTCAAAATACTTAAAGTAATGGCTTCCCTTGCAGTTGTAGCAGTGCTGGAAGGGCGCATCAATGCCAGAGTCGGGGCATTTCCAGCCGCGCTGCTCAAAGTACGACTTCATGCAGTTGTGCACGGGTTGCATGGTCTCAGCAATGTACTTGATCGAGTCCTGGTAGGACTGCTGAGCAAAGGCAGTAGAGGTGGGCGTGTTGGCAAAAACGCCGGGCCCGGTCTCGCGAACGGTATGCATGGCCGCGAGATGGCGCAGCATGCGCCCGACTATGACAGGGTCAACATTGTTGTCGCACTTTGTTGCGATTTCATCGATGGACGCGCCCGTGTCAGGGATACTCTGCATAGCCTGGAACAACCTGACTTCTGCAGCCATCCACAAGACGTTGAGATGGGCAGGCTGGGCCCACAGCTGGTCGAGCATGGTCTCCGAAGGGTGGCTGATCTCTGCAATGAGGCCTCTGCATGCATCCAGCAGCTCTTTGCGCGCGCTGGGGCTGCCATTGCGGAAGTCGTTGCCCAGAGTGGCGACATTGTCGAGGAGCGTCAGGGCAGCCTGTGACGGCGTCGGATCGGCGGCCATGGTAACGTCTGATCAGTGCGGAGGGAATTGATCTAGGAGAGGAGGAAAGGCCCGTTCGATGGTGTGTAACGAGTGGTTGGCCTCGGGTCTCTTCCCCTCAGCCCTCACAACCCCTCGCCCGGGCGGATGTTTGCCGAGAGGGACGGGCTGTGGGCATGGATGGGCTTTGGTGCATGCAGGCACGCGGTAGCGACGCTGAGCTTGGAGGATTGGAGGATGCAGCAGGCGTCATGATGTCCTGGGCCGCCGCCGTTAGGACGTTCTGGTTCCTCGATGCATCCTCGCACGTCTCCCCCAGCCCTCGCCGTCCTGCCGCACGCTCACCAGCCTCTCCACCCGCCGCCCGGCTAGCCCCCTGCGCGGCCCGTTTTTTGTTACCGACATTGCCTGTTTGGATCGTAGGCGATTACGAGGCAGCGCTGCCACCGTCCTCGATTAGCAGCCGTGTACCATGTCGAGGCGCCATATCGAGGCGCATTCCCCCCCGCACGCCGAAGCTGAGCGCGCTTCGTCGCAGGCCCACCCTGCTGCGGCCATAGACTCTGGCATCGATGTAGGCTCGTCGTCCGAGTTTGACCAGGACAACAGCGCCGGCCATGCGCTCGTCGCCCACGATGACACGAGCGAGGCATCGACGGATGAAGGGTAAATTGGCGCGCTGACAGCATCTCGTGGCATCGCACCCATTGTTAACGTCGTGTGCACAGCTATGCCGACTCTGACGCCTCGTCGTTCCTCTCATCCATTCTCTCCGAAGTGCGCCGTGGAGTGGAAATCGAAGGCCGCCTGTACCCCAGTTACGGCAAGCATGCCTATGGCATGCCCATGGACGAAAAGGAGCTCGATCGCAACGATCTCCAGCACCACAAGTACACCCTCTTGCTGCGCGACCGCCTCTTTGTCGCGCCCGTGCCAGAATCGACGTTTGAAGACGCAAACTGTCGCGTCCTCGACCTGGGAACTGGCACCGGCATCTGGGCCATAGACATGGCGGACAAGTACCCCAACGCAGAGATCCTTGGTGTAGATATTGCAGCCACACAGCCGTCCTTTGTTCCGCCAAACTGCCTCTTTGAAATCGACGACGTCGAAGAAGACTGGCCCTATCGCCCTGCCCATTTCGACTTTATCCACGGCCGCGACCTCATGACAGCTATTCGTGACTGGCCCCGTGTGATTGCGCAGGCATATGCGCACCTCAAACCAGGCGGCTGGATACAGCTGGCCAGCACCATACCTGGACCGCTCACCGACGACAACACGATACCCGAGAACAGCGGCTACGTGGAAACGGCCCGAGTGTACTTTGAAATTGCGGAGAAGATGGGGGCGCCGCTCGCAGCGCCACGCGACTGGAATGCGCAGATGAAAGAAGCCGGCTTCATCAATGTCCAAGACGAAGTATACAAATTGCCCATGGGCCCCTGGCCTCGATCAAAGCGGTTGCGAACCGTCGGTAAGCTGGAGCAGATTATGATTCTTGAAGGCGGGTTTGAGGCGTACATGCTGCGCGGATATACACAGGTGTTGGGTGGCAAGGTAGAGGATTTGCAGATTATTCTTGCCCTGGCGAAAAGAGAGGTGAGAGATCCGTCGATTCACACCTATGTGCAATTTCATATTACGTATGGGCAGAAGCCCCTGTAGGTGTAGTAATTGGAATTTCAACTATGATACGAAGTAGTGGTTTTGTGGCCACCACCGCTGAACGACTATCCGCACTATTTACAGCAATACACAAAGCAAAGCCACCATGGATATATGTACGTACTTACAGGGAGGCCCTTGCAGAACAGACAGGGGGACATGGTTTAGACGCTAGTGTAAAAACAGACTAGTGCGTGTCCCCTCTGTCTCGGGAGCTTTCCGCGCTGACAGCATCCATCCATCCATTCATCTCGAAAGCCACGGCCACGCAAGACATACAGAGTACACACCATTCGGAGCCATCTTACACAAGTACAATCCCCATACCACTGTGAAACACTTTGGTTTGTAATCAACCATATACCATCGTCACCCTTGGGCGCTGCAGCTATCGTTAGCCCAAAACTACACCACTCCCGCCTCTGACAACTCTCACTACTTCTCCACTAACATCCAGCAAGAGCACTGCATCCAGTCCTCTACTCTACTCGAAACCAACCTCTTCTGTATGTGCTTCAAGTCCGCTTCGACTCCGCTGCATCCGCATCGCCAAGTAGTGTATTCGCGCTCAATTGAGGCAGTTTCCAGAACCTATACCCGATTAGGTAGCGTATATTCAGAGCACCCTGTTGGAGACAGCCGGTCTGCCTGACAAAGAGACTCGTCCTTTTGGTTATCGATTGCGTGAGAATCATACATGATGCGGGGCACTTTGACGCTGAAGCTTTCGAGCTTTCTTCTTTTCTCCCTCTCCCCCGTCCCTTCAGTTTGTGCCTCAGAACAACAACCCTTTGAATTCTGCGGAATGTCTGCACCACAGTACACGCTTCCTCCGCTTCCCTATGCATATGATGTTAGTATTGCCATCATCCCCTGTCTCATTTCCCCGCACTGGTTGTACTCATAGCTTCATAGGCATTGGAGCCGCACATTTCTGCTCAGATCATGGAGCTGCATCACAGCAAGCACCACCAGACATATATCACCAACCTAAATGGTCTTCTCAGGACCCAGGCTGAGGCTGTCTCGACCCTCGACATCACATCTCAGGTTTCGATCCAGCAAGGCATCAAGTTCAACGCTGGCGGTCACATCAACCATTCCCTCTTCTGGCAGAACCTTGCTCCGGCCAGCTCAAACGAGGCTAAGAGCTCCGCTGCGCCCCAACTTATCAAGCAGATCAAGGCCACCTGGGGTGATGAGGACAGGTTCAAGGAGGCCTTCAACACTGCTCTACTGGGAATCCAGGGTAGCGGTTGGGGCTGGCTCGTCAAGACTGAGGTTGGCAAGGAACAACGACTCTCTATTGTGACTACGAAAGACCAGGATCCTGTAGTCGGCAAGGGCGAGACTCCAATTTTTGGAGTCGACATGGTATGTTAACACGGCGCTTGAACAAGTTGATGAATGTGCGACTGACGTGACATAGTGGGAACATGCGTACTACTTGCAGTACCAGAATGGCAAAGCAGCCTATGTGAAGAACATCTGGAACGTGATCAACTGGAAGACGGCCGAGGAACGGTACTTGGGATCGCGCGCCGACGCATTCAGTGTGCTCAAAGCGTCGATCTGATCTTAGCGCAACTATCCTATATTGAAAAAATAAAGTGTTGAGGACAGCAAAGTGTCTCGATGTGTGCTTACACGGCCTGTTTTGATTAAAAAGTGACTCCATAGCACCGTGCTGGTTGCGCTCAGTTCGCCTCGGTCCAATCGGGTACTCCCGAAACAAACTTGCTCAAAGAAACTACCTCATTCACCCTCAGAATGGTTGACCCCCTTGGCTAATAAAACAATCGACGCGCAATCTCCAAAGCGACGTCGTCCCGTGAGCACCTAAAAGTCTCTATGATTTCCGCTTTTTTTGTCTTTGGCTTCTTTTCTCACCATCGCATCCATACATTCACTCTCTCGATCATCTTACCCAATCACCACACCCAAACATCATATATTCAAAATGTGCAATGGAGAATCTACACGCGTAACCCAAGGCGGTTCCATCGCCGTCTTGCACCCAACCCCACCTTTCCCCCTCCGGCGCACACGCTCTTCCTCATCTTCCTCCTCATCCACTTCCAGCTCCTCAGACGACGAGATAAAACAAGACGAAATCCTACTCTACTTCACGAATCCTCTCTCCAAAAAATCCGGCACCAACGTTGAAATGGCTGGATTCGACCAACAATCCACACATGCAGCGTGGGTCGTTATACAGTGCGTCTTTCCTTCCACCTTCCACTTCTTTAGCATGCTAACACGAATGCACGCAGTCGCGACGGCGATCTCTCGTCTTCTTCCTCACCTACTTCAGCACAAGAACCCAGCGCGTTCTGTTCCTTCCCAATCAAATCACAAAACGGACGGTGGGAACTCGAGCGCAAACTCGAACTCGGCGTTGGCGAAAGGGGCATTATCGGGAGGAGAGTGTCGGTGTTGAGTGGAGCGCGGGAAGTACTTGCGCAGGGTGTGATTGGGTGGAATTGATGGGTTATGGGGAGTACGAGTATGATTGTGTTCATGGATGCATTGGGACGGCGTTGGATGAGGCCTTTTAGGAATATTGTATTGGAAATGGGTTTTTTGGGTAGATTGGTTACTTGAATGGATTACTATTTTAGTAAGAGTACCATCTCGTGGTTGATAGATGGAACCAGGGAACTTAGATTAAGCGGGCTAGCCTATCACATCGAGTAGCTTTTACTACGAAATATTGGTAGTAAGCATGATAAGTATCGAAGGAGGAATCAAGGTGTTAAGCGGGCTTCATAACGTCAACGTTGGGCACTCCTATCTTCACTTCCACCCGTCGACTGAGAGGTATTTCAGGGGCGTAGGCTAGAACTGATAGTTCGAGATGGCCCATGTGATGTCATCGATATCCCGAACCCACGTAGATCAGTACTACTGCTCGGGTAGAAAACAATTTCCTTACCACCCTTTCCGCGCGCCGTATAGAGGTAGCAGAAACTTGAAGAAAATATCAAGGGATGTATTAGCGATATCCATGAATTCTTTGGCGGGCAGTGCTAGGTATATACTTTGTGTCAGCGAAGAGTCAAGTCCTCTCAATTATATATACGGTGTAGTGTGAAAGTGCCAGACTCCAAGTCACGTGCAGGCCAAGGCCTTGGCCAAACGTCGATTAGAAGCGCATCTTGCTATATGCTAACTCTTCACTTTTCGCACAAAAGCAATGGTTATTCCACAGATACAATAACCAGTTACATATTTGCGCGCCTCCTCCCACCATGGTTGCCGACTCTGCCGAAACGGCGCCTTCCTTACCGTACCACGAACCAGACATCATCACAATCCTCATCCTCACTTCGTTTCTGCTGCTACTGAACGCCATCAATTCCATATTCGATAAGTTCCTCTACTGCGGTCTCCTCGGCCAAATTGCTGTCGGCATCGCATGGGGCACTCCAGGCGCGAAAATACTTTCGTCCAACGTCGAAGATGCGGTGGTGCAGTTGGGATATCTGGGGTTGCTATTACTTGTATTTGAAGGTATGCCCGATTCCCCTTTTTATCACCTTGGCTTTGGCGCATTTTCCAGAGTTCTACACTTTTGTGTTACACATGCTAAGTCGTATGGATAGGTGGCCTACATACCTCGTTCCAATCGCTAAAAGCGAACCTACTGCTATCATCTGGTGTTGCGTTGACGGGGATCGCCTTACCGGTGGGTCTGTCGTATACCCTACAAGGTCTACTCGATGCCACGCGGTTGCAAGCTTTTGCCGCCGGAGCAGCATTGTGCTCAACCAGTCTTGGCACAACCTTTACCGTTCTAGCGTCGAGTGGATTGTCGGCGTCCAGACTGGGTGTTGTGCTGACGAGTGCGGCTATGATGGATGATGTTGTGGGACTCGTCATGGTGCAGGTGATTTCTAACTTGGGTGGTAGCGACTTTAGTTGGGTTGTTGTTGTGCGCCCGGTTCTTGTGTCGGTAGCATTTGCGCTGTTTGTACCTGTTGCTTGCCTCTTTGTTGCGAGGCCAGTTACTCTACGGCTTAACCAGTACCGTGAAGCTCATTCGAATGAGGCCCTGAACAATCTTTTGCGGAAGCCCCAGACAGCCTTTGTGCTGCATACCCTACTCTTGGTTGGCCTGATTGCTGGTGCAACTTATGCTGGAACTTCGAACCTTTTCGCCGCGTATATTGCCGGAGCAAGCATCAGCTGGTGGGATTCTGAAGTGGCCCATACAGTTGTCAAGACGACAGTGCATGGGGCTGCTGCTGTTGATGAACAGAGTACGGTACCTAATGATCCTTCTCCGGAGTCGTCGAACGGCTCACAAGGCTCTGATGAAATCCAAAACTCTACGCAGTGTACACCCACCTCCAAAGCCAAAAAAGAGCCCAAGACTCCATCGCAAACACAACCTGTTGAAGCATTGAGTACATATGATGGCGACGAAGACACATCCGGATCCGCCATCTATCACCGATATTACCACCCCGCTGTTTCCAAAATCCTTCAACCGTTTTTCTTCGCATCCATTGGCTTCTCCATCCCAATCACGCGCATGTTCAGAGGCGCCATCATATGGCGCGGTTTCGTCTACACCATGCTGATGCTCCTCAGCAAAATCGCCTGTGGCCTCTGGCTCGTCCGGTTCTCCATTGCACCAGCTAAAGGCAATATGGGCCGCATATCGTCCAGACTAAAACAGCTATATATCCCGCATTTCTGGTCTAGAAGCACAAGCGCAGCAACACCTAAGCCGAGCACTGCAAGAGAAACGACCACGAACGCATCGACGCGCACTTCACCAAACCCGCCAAAGCCGTTCTCACTTCATCCTCCCCTCATTCTCGCTCTTGCAATGTGTTCACGGGGCGAAATTGGATTCCTTATATCTGGCGTTGCGGAATCCAAAGGTATCTTTGCCTCAACGAGTGATGTCTCGACCGACTCGTCAGATATCTTTCTTGTGGTGACGTGGGCAATTGTTCTGTGTACGATTATTGGCCCTTTGGGTGTTGGATTGTCGGTTCGGAGGGTGAAGACGCTAGAGGAGCGCAAGAATCGAGCGCATCAGGGGAGTGGGAGGGATGTGCTTGGTGTCTGGGGTGTCGAATGAAGAGAGTGGGGTGTGTCAGTCTCGAGATATGTATGTAAACAAGGGTTTCCTCGAGACAGATACATCACTTGTTCGTGAAAAAGTACGAAGTTTGATCTTTCGAAGCTAGTGTACATGTCATTACCTGGGGATTGCAACACAACACATTCTAAAAGCGATGACATGAATGTCAAACAATCTTATCCAAAAGAACTGCCTATTATTGGATAGAAACTTCATTCCCAATAGAGATAATCAAGAGTCTGCATCGTGAAAAGAGACCCGTAGATAATTTCCGACGCGTGATCACTCCTGTCGCGTGCGTTCACTTTCATCGCACTCACCGTAGCACATTCACTTCAATCTGAAAATTCCTTAGGAGAAATTTTCCATGCGCCATATAAACACCCTTTCTGCTAAAGATTCTATCAGCTTCTGTTCAATCTCGATTCAAGTCACTCGCTTCTGCAAGATCGACTCGCGAACACTCTCAAACAAGTCACTCCTTTCTACACCTCTCATCCCACTTCCAAGATGAGCACACTCTATTTCTTCCTCCTTTTCTACCTCTCCTTTGTTTCCCTCACAACCGCCTCCCCCATCACACACTCGACTAACGTAACCGTGCGTTGCCCCCCTCAAATCCCCATCCACGACCGCCGCGGCATCGCCTACAATAACGCCAACCTACTCTCCCTCTTCGCCCAACCCGACTCACACATCACCTGGCGCTACAACTGGGACTCATCGAATGCATCATCCCCAACCACTTTCGACTTCACCCCCATGCTGCACACTGTACGCTCCGACCACACAAAGGTCTGGAAGACCAACGCCAAAGCCGTAGTCAAGAAGAACTGGGAAAAGGGTCGAGCAACGTGGATGTTGGGCTTTAATATGCCGGACAATTGCATGTACGCTCCATCCTTCCTTGCTCATCCCCCCAACTACCCTTCCTGATTATAGGGAAAAATTGGAACTGACAAGTGCGATACAAAGACCCAACACAGGCGGTTCCTGCATCGACGTCGCAACTACCGTTGCAGTGTGGAAATAGTACTTTCAGCCACTTGCTGCGTCCAATCGCAATGTGTATCTGGGTTCTCCAGCTGTTACGAATGCGCAGGCGACAGATACTGCGGGGTTGGGGTGGTTAGCGTGGTTTCTGCACGAGTGTGGTGGGTGTAGTGTTGATTTTGAAGATTCACTGGTAAGTTATCGTCATTACCTCCCTTCTCTAGTTCTAGAGGCTGACGGGCGCAATGTATAGGTACGGCGTTGCAAACGTCCAGTCCTTCAAAGCGCATATCGATGCGACGAGAAAGGTAGTGCAGGGCCGGCCGATTTAGATTACAGAGTTCAAGCCTAAGGGGACGGTGGAGCAGATTCGCCAGTTCCTGGAGGAGGTGATGCCTTGGATGGACGAGAGTCCGGATGTGCATCGGTATGCGTATTTCATGGCTATGCCGGGGGAGGGATTCTTGATTGATGGGAGTGGTGGGGCGTTGAATGAAATTAGGAGGACGTTTGCTTTCTTCCATCGGCACTGAATATCTGGCGGTGATACAGACGATGAATTAGATGGGTTTCGGCTATAGTATGCGGGATATATCGACGCGGTATACACGGGACGTTCTGGAAGACTCACCATAGATTTGTCGGTACCCGCTGGAGTTGTGGTGTGAGTCCACCGCTTGATATCAAAAAGAAGAATAAAAAAGGATACAGACCAAATAGAGACATATATCCGAGTACTGCCATATCTCCTATTTTGCATGCCTTCCTACACTACATGCACCCTAATCCCCCCCGGCGTCCATGGCTGTCCAATGGCCTTTCTAAATCCACCCTCGAAAACATCAATCGTCTCATTCATGCCCATCCCACTCGCAATGGCCAACTGTAACATGATCCTCGCCTGAATCGGATGCACGAACCCGGATTTGGCCAAACTGGGTCTGCGCGCCGGACTTGACGGACCATATGGACTTCTTGTCCCGACTACAATCTGCAATCCCTTTTCTAATGCTTCAGATATTTCATCTTGACCACTGGGGATGCCGCCATTGCCCGTCCCTGCAATGACTACACCTTGAGCACCATTCGCATGCGCATTAAGTACAAGTTTGCCATCGAACTCGCGGGCCGCGTACAGAATATCGACTTTGGGCAGATGTGGAAATGTTGCATATGAAGACACAGTGTCGATATCAAAGTAGTGCTTGAACAGTGGTTGACTAGGCGAGTTATAGAAAATCGGTAAACTGTTTATGAACAAGCCCAAGTCGCCGCCGGCGTTTGCACCAAAAGCATCGGGATTCGTAGAGTGCAGCTTTGTAACCCAGTAACCGGAGATGATGCGCGCGTTGAAAGCAACCATGACGCCTCGATCACGTGAGGCCGGGCTTGCAGCCAGCATGACTGCGTCGAAGAAATTCGCGTCGCCTTCGTAGGAGAGGTGCGTGAAAGGGCGCATGCTGCCGGTGGCGACGATGGGCTTGCCGCAATTTACTAGACTGTCCATCAGGAAAGCGGTTTCTTCGAGGGAATTGGTTCCATGGGTGAATACGGCGCCTAGGATGTCGCTGTCGGAGGAGCAGAGAGCATCGTGTGCGAAGCGCGTCATATTCATGACGAGGGCGTCGTTGGTGCCTGTAGACTCATTGCCTTGAGTTGTCCAATTCGATACAGCGAGCTGTGTGTGATTGAGTAGGTACGGGTTTCGGGCGATGATGTCTTCTCCTGTTATGCCGATTTGTCCGTATTGAGTATCATCTAGAGCGCCGTAGATGGATCCTCCTGATATGGTTCCTCCGGTGAACAATATGCTATGGTACGTTATTAGCAAGGCTGAAGGCGACAGAAGTGATCATACGCACAGAATCTTGGGTAAGGAACTGTTTCCACCAAGCCATGTTAAACCAAGGCGTTCGCTCGCTGTGGTTTTCTGGCGTTGTGCAATGGGCTCGGCAGTTGTGGGTACAGCACCGAGGATAGCACTGAGAGCAGTGGCAGCAATCAGACTCAGGAAATGCATTTTTTAGGACAAAAAGGCGCTCTCAACAAACTGCTATACCTAGATTCGAAGTCAAACTTTATACATTCCTATGCTCACTCCATCAACTCGGCCAAATTCCCCGCAATGATCCAATGTTACAGTAGCGGTGACAGGTAATCGCGTGTCGGAAGCATTGAGAACGATATCATGCATACAGAGTATTGGCGCTATGGTCAATGGGGAAGGTGTATGTATCGTTGTGAGAGGGTGCTGATAAAAACCGTTATCGTGCTTGGGTTGAAGTGTTTGGAGGAGCGAGGCTACTACGCTATAAGCCCCACGTATGCCAAGAGCGGGGACGATCAAGGCTACCGAGTGGCTGGATCCTGTTTCTTGTCAGAGTTGGATGGCGTCTGTGATAACGAATCAAGTTTTGAAAAGATGTTGTAAACGTTGGTCTATTTTTGATTGGTGTAGTTAACTCAGGGGTCATGGTATAGGGGTCTGGACGTATTCCCGCTGAAATCTTCCTCAGCGTCCGAGTAAAGATAATGCCAAGACCCCAAGCACGTGACATGCATGGGTCGAGCAAAAGAATAAAAAGTAAATCTAAAAATATACAACAGCAGGGATTCGGTAGCTGTTATTTACCTAACTACTAATATACCTAGACTTAAACCCACTACTGACGTATATAGATAGTAATAAACTCTATATTCTTAGTACTAATTAGATCCGCACTTACAATTGTGCAAGTAGATATATGCTGACTAATCGTTACGAATCGTATGGGTAGTTACCTACTACTATCGCTAAAGCCAACATGCTAACTTCCTACTACATACTCACCCATGCAGACCGGCGTAAAACAGCAAATGAGCTCCGCAAATCTGCCAATCGGGAACGATCTGTCCTCGATAAATACCTTCCCCCGGTTTTGCGAAGCATGCCTCAGCTTTGATGATGAGCTCTCACGCATCGAGACGCTGCTTGAGAAACCTGAGCCGCAGGCCAAGAGCTCCAGTACCGTAACCCCAACACAAGAGCTCAGCCGCCTGCCTCCTCTGGAAATCAGCAAACTACGGCACATCTGGGACCATGCTGCTGTTTGCCGCTGCTGTCGGAGTCTTCGCAATTATGTCTTGAGAAGGCACCTCTCTCTTATTGCTGGTGATGGTGGGCGCGACTCGCCGACTGCTCTAGATGCATTGTCTATTAGCGTCGTATTCCTTCCATCCTTCCCGGACTTCACAGTGCCACGACTGTTACTCAAGGCTGGCGCAAATACAATCACAAAGGAGACGGCCTCCGAGCACGCACCAGATGTGAATAGCTTTCATTCTACCACCCCGTCGTCGAGAGACGGGCTGCTAGTGCGAGAGGCGGGGTTGAGAATCGACTTTGCGCAGATCCGTCAATGGGTTAGCGAGTGCCGCGTCTCCCACGGAGCAGAGTGCTCGCAAACTCAGCTCCCCAATGACTGGGGTCTTTCTGACTTTAGTACGCAGAATCTGGACTTCTACCTCATTGATGTGCATCGAATGTGCCTTGCCACATCGCCTATGAGCTCTGCCCCACCGTACGTGGCGCTGAGCTATCGTTGGGGCGATCCGCAGCTCTCAACGCAGTGCCGCCAGAGCAATTTTGCGCTCATGGCCGCGCCCGGTGGATTGATGAGCGAACATGTCGTTCTGGCGCCTACGATCCTAGACGCCATCACCTTTACCAGAGAGGTGGGATTCCGGTACCTTTGGGTGGATGCGCTATGCATTGTCCAGGATGACTATGAACGGAAGCCAATGTATTTACAACTAATGGGTACCGTGTATGCAGATGCGGTGCTTGTACTAGTAATACTTGAGGGAAATGCAGATACAGGCATCTCAGGAATCGGGCATGATCGCCAAGTCCAGGATAGTATCGACCTTCCCACACGCAGCCTGATTAAGAGCACTCCCCGCATCTGCGGGAACGAAACATTCAGTGGCAAGACTTGGGCTACGCGCGGCTGGACGTTTCAGGAAGGACTGTTTGCCAGCAAAATCCTAAGCATCCATGATTTTGCTTCATGGCATTGCCCATGTGCGAATTGGCTAGAGGAGGTATTTCGACTACCGCAAGTCAAACCCAAAACAGACAACCAAATAACATCAACACGCGCTCAGACACATCAGGCAGGGTCTTCCACATTTCTCGACTTTCCCCGCGTCCCGCAATATATGTCTCTGGCAGCGTACGCCGGCCTTGTCCGATCGTACAACACTCGCTCGCTAACCATGGACGATGACGCTCTGAATGCAATAGCCGGTGTAACAGGCCGTCTGCACACTCTTTTCCCTTGTGGCTTCTTGCAAGGCGTTCCTGAATTCTTTTTCGACGTGGCGCTTCTCTGGCAACCACGGTCTCCACTACGGCGTAGAGTGTGTGCACCTGATGCGCCTCCGCTCTCGTCGTGGTCGTGGGCGGGTTGGCATGGCGATTTAGATCTCAGCGCGTGGTCGGACAGTCATCTTGTCTACAACGAGCCATTAGTGGTACGTAACAACCGGATTGTAGACTGGCAGAAGCTCAACTGCGTGAAGACCGATGATGGACAAGTGAAGCAAGAATGGAAGTCCATCCAGTTCACATTTCACGCCCCCCGCGGACGGTTTGAGAATTCATCTGTCGTAGAGATGCCGTGGGCATGGCACGCTCACCCCAGCGAAGAAGCAAACGAAAATACTTCGTATTTCACATATGATCCAGACGACCGAGAGAACCACATGGCAGGGATCAAATTCCGCTTCCCGTTCCCACCGTTTGAGCGATATAGGAATGTCGACCACGATACTTCGTATTCGCATTTGTTGAAGGGAAAAGTGCAAGTCGCATCTTTTATATTGGATACACAATCAGTGCTCAACGCTGCATCCCCGCACGATAGAGTAGTGGAGGATGTGTATCTCATGAACGAATCAGGTAACCGGGTAGGTTATCTCCGACTGAACCTTTACGACGAGCAGCGGCCAGCGCATGGTACGCAATGCGAGCTTGTAGCGATTTCAGAAGGTGTGGCGGATGTTCGGCTCCAGTCATATGCAACTGACCAAGCTACCTTAACACCTCAATTACGTGCGCTGAATGAGAACACCGCATTTGATTATTATGAATTTTTACACGTACTGTGGATTGAGTGGAAGGGAGATATCGCGTATCGACGCGCTTTGGGGCAAGTCGAGAAGCTGTTTTGGGAGAGAGATTGTGCGGGGGAGATTGAAATCATTTTAGGTTGATATTGATAGTGTATGTTGAGGGTCAGGTTCAGCTGTCATGAGTCTTTACTGTAATGACGCTTAAACTAATTGCGAAGGCTGGTGTTATTCTCCTGGTTTTCTAATTATAGGATCGTAACATTTTACGTCGAAAGCGAGTAGGTTCAAGATAGAATGGCTTCTTCACGCATGAGAACGGGATATCCAACCAGCAGGCGTTAGAACAGATACCATATTTTGACCTAAATTCGCATTTATTATACCAGACTCAGAACTCTCAAGCATCATATCTACTGTACACAGCATTTTCTGCTATTACCTTGCCGCTTCTCCCAAGCTTTCACATAATCCATGAATTCGGGATGATAGAGCTCTGCCCACTCGAAAGCAGAAGTCTGATCCGCGCCTCGGTCCAGCAGTAGCCAGGTAAGGTCCTTAGTGTCTTTAGTCGCCACTTTAGAACTTGGTATATAACATATTGACGTTCCAAGCCGCGTTGGTAAAGCCGTGCTCTCTGTAGGTTGATCCGGCGCGTTCACATCGATTCCAACTACGTCGCGAAGATGAAGAACCATAGCCATGCGTTCATCGTCCCCTTCCTGGCTAGAAGAACCGTGGGTCGCAGCCTTGACAGCGAGATGCGATGGATGTTATCCCAAGGGCGCTCCTTTATCGCGCAAGAGCTCAAAAGTCGCAACAGTGCCTACCGTCGCAACCTTCTCGAGAATCTGCTCACACATCTGCTGCAACTTTGTGATGTCGTCATCAGAGAGGGGCTCTTGACCGCGAGGGTGCACACTCGCGTCGTGCTCTAGGCACTATTTGATCATGTCTTCATTGTCAGCAACAAACCACATGAATAGTTTTGCTTCATTTGGTGTATCCGCTCACGTATTGATATCCTAGCAGTACACAAGCAGAAGTTCGAAAGTTTCTTTTAATGCGCCTACAGCTTGTGCTAGAAATTTAGGTATGATACTAATGCCGCGATCGATAAGGTTGTACAAGATTGTTGTAGCATTATTCTTGATTGCCTCCGAACGGAGCAGATTATGACAATCGTGGAGGTCCTCGGCAGGGCACATGGAGATGGCTTGATTCAATATTGTTATGTCGTTGGACCTACATGCTCGACGCGCAAGAGTCCATTCTAGACCATTCCAACGGTCTAAGAATCCCCGTTCAGGCATATTTTGAGAGGAGTTGATGACTGATTCAGGTACTCAGAAGTAAAACAGAGTTTAGAAAGATAGTGATTCCCATGCTACATTCCACCTTCCTCATAGAATAATACTGATTGTTGCCTGATTCTCGGTCGTGGATTTGGGCGGCACGGTTGGAGATAAGTCTTCCGTTTTGAGTTAGACTACACTAGCTTACTCGCCGCAATATAGGTTCCTCCACATGCAGAAAGGTACTTATTCCATTAGGCTTGCAAAATCAAGAATCTGTATCGGAAATTCGAGTCTAACAGGGAGATATTATTACGTCTAGATTAAGGGCAAGAAAGCATACAAAAAGCTAAAATGCTAATCTTATAGAAATCTATATTACTAAAGGGCTCTCTGGGTTCATTTAACCTTTTTGCCACGCGGTACTGTCTTCTTGTCATGCCTTTTCTACCTCTGGTTTGTTTCTTCTATACTTTCCTCCCAATCTGGGTGTCCTGTCGGTTAGCGCAGTACCAACCGCTTGGGCGACAATTACTAAGATCAGCCCACAAACGCAACCCCAGCCAAACGCTACACCAAGCAATATGGCTCTCAGCTTCATATCAGCGATACAGATCGAGGTTTCCGCATCATTGGAATTTTCACGGTTAGTGAGCATTCCTGCGCTTCCTCTCCCTATTAATGCCACGCAACACCCTCAGTACGAGGCTGCCCGCAGGATTGCCCCAATTTGGCCTTCAGTCCAAGGAGGTATCGTGGTACCTCAAAGTATAAAAACGATGGCAATTACTACACCTCAATTCAAAGCCCCTAATCTTTCGCAATCTAGCTCTAGGCGCCAGTCTGTCACCCGAGTGTTAATCATCGGTGACTCAATAACTCGGAGCCAGGAAGGAGACTACATATGGCGGTACCGTATTTGGCAATGGTTTCACTCTAGTAGGGTTTCTGTGAAGACAGTCGGCCCTTAAACAGGAACAAAGCCCCCTCCACCACCAGGTCTCCCGCAACCTCCACCCTTATACGGGGCACCTGCAGATTAGTCTTTCAGAGTAAACGGCGGCTATACAAAAGACGGTGATTCTAAGTTTCTCCTAAAAAGCAATCATTTTTCCGTCTGGGGACGGGGGGCTACCGTTGACAAAGACTTCATTGCAGGGGTACTGCAGGAAAATCCGGCGGACCTCATGCTTCTTTTTATTGGCTTCAATGGCCTGGGCTGGTTTTACAGCGACGTATCTGGTACCCTGGCTAGCATTCAGAAACTAATTACGAACGCCCGATCAGTCAATCCAAACTTGAAATTCGCGGTTGCCAATGTATCCCATCGCACCCACATTGGTTATACAGTGGGGTGACAAAAAAAAGTCCAAATCCAAAAAGTTATCGTTTTTAAACATTTATTACTTTATAACTAGAAAAGCTATTCTAAAACGGGTTAATGCATTTTAAAGCCAAGATGTCCTAGTTCAGTATAGGGTAGTCACGTGACTGTAAGTCAGCCTTTTTGTTAGCTATTATTATTATTATTATTCCATTATAGTCCTGTATCAGCCGTTGGCTATGTAGGACTTTGGCCAAAGGCCGTTCTATCTAACTAGTTACAATTTGGTACGTTGTGCTGTATTGCGTGACTATGGTGCTTCGGCCTTTGTCTAGTTAAGCTAGTACTAGCTTTCTAGACGCCTGGTGCTAAAGAGCAGTTTGGTAACAGGGAGAGATATAAAGCAGCTAGGCTGCCTTCTAGCGAGCTCTCTTAGGGGATAGGAAATAGTGCTAGTAAAATCAAATTCGTTGTTCTTTGTTTTTCTTCTTTTCTTCTTATTTTTCTTATTTTTCTTCTTTCTAGCCTTCTTGGCCTACATGCCACTTTCTTGTTCCTATCTTCGTGCTAGTAATAAAAGCTAGAGTAGCTTCTATACCGCTCGTAGTGTGGAGTAAGAGTGGGAGTTTAAGTACTTTCTGGCCTAGAGTCTTTTTAAGTTGGTTTCTCTCTGCGCTATAGAAACCGCAGTATAGAAGTA